AACAGTGTTGAATGATTCAGCACAGAAGTATATTCAGAGTCATTATCAAATATCATGTCATATTTAGAGCTAATTCATACAGAGCCTTTGAATGATTCAAATGATCATTCACAATCTCTGAATCATTAGCATTTGAACCATTCAGCGCTTAATCATTTTTAATTATTCAGCGCTTAATCATTCTGAACTAAACAAACAACCCCTAAAAGATGGATTACTACGTGAGACTTTGCAATTTTACTCCACTTTTAATAATTTTTATTCATTATTCTTTATTCAAAATGAAATATATTAAAAACTAAAGACAATTATTTTTAATCTACCATTATACATTATTAATTATTTATTTAAATATTAATTAAAGACGCATGAGTAGATTAAAACTGTTTATGAAAATATCCACTAAAATAATAATTCCGTTGTTAACATGCTTAATATTATATTAATTCAAATTTTAAAAACTTAAGACTAGTCGAAATACCCGCTGTGCGGCGTTCGAGTGTCTCGAATAGCCGGCGTGGGAACATAAACCGGTTTAACGGGAACGGGCCTTTCGGCTGCCGGCGAAGCAGTTTCGGTCTCGGAGACGGAGCTGCACGCGACAATCGCGAGTTGTATCCAAATCCTACACGGCTGAGAGGGCGGAGGATTCGAGGGAAGAATGCATTGGAAATTGAAGGCTGAGGGAATTTAACGGCGGGTTTGGAGTTTAGCGAGCGAAGTCCAATATAACAAGGAGAAAATCGATGAAGCTCGTTGATTAAGTAAGTGTTTGGATCCATGGAAAATCTGAAGAATTTGAAAGAAAAACCGAGGGTAAAACAAATTGGAAATTTTGAAATGAAAAGAATCATGGAATTTGAACTGAATACAAACAACTATAAACGAGCCGGTCCTTATCAGGGAAGTACAGTATCACAATTTGAGCAATATGTGTAATACTTATGATATTCCTTGTAATAAATAGATTATTTTTACCATTTATTGATTCGGAATTTTTTATATAATATCTAAATTATTCGAATTTATTTTCAAACTTAAATAGGAGAAAATTATATCTTTAATGAGATCAGAATGAAATTTTATAACAAAAAATATAAATATAAATAAAATAGTTATTAGAGTTTAATTATTAATTCATTCATTTAAAATAAAAAAATATACAATCTAATTTATTTAATTTTAAAATTTTTAAAAAATATTTAAACGTAAAAGATATATGTTTTCGTCTTTTCTTCTGTTTTCTTCAACTTTACTGTTTCTTCAATCATTGATGCCAAATCCTTAACTGTTTTAATTGTACTAAAGAGTTAAAATTCTACTTTAAGCTTTGCTGATTCTGCAATTTTTCTACGCTCTTTAGATCGGCTCATACCCCTATGAAGCTCCCTTGCTTTTGACAGTGGTTCTAAGCAGTGCAAGACACAATGGCAAATTAATCAGTCAAAATTGGAACTTTTGTGAATCCCATTGCATAAAAACTATGAAAAACCAAAAGTATACCTCTGAAAAGCCCTCCTGATTCTGGGGTTTCTTCAGTGAAGAATTACCTTCACCGGAGCAAGTGGCCTGGAATTACAATAATAATCCTATGTATCAATTTTACATATTAACATCCCCTCAACTGCAAAAAGAAGAAGAAGAAATACGAAACGTCGACAGCAGGATTCGAACCTGCGCAGGCAATGCCCAACAGATTTCGAGTCTGTCTCCTTAACCACTCGGACATATCGATAATTCTGTTTAAAGGTCGAATTAAAAATATTATAACGTAATTTACATATGGGTTAACATGACCGCAAAAAGTCCAGCAAGGCATAGACATTTTAGATTAGATTAAATTTTAAATATTTTAACTAAAAAAGTTATTTGAATTTGATCGAATTACTAAAATTTGTAACTTATTTTCATCGATATTTTTTTAGGAAAAAAAGTCCAATGAATATCATGTGAACGTGAGATATTGATGAAATTATAGAACTTTAATCTTTGAAAGAATAAGATATAATTAAAAAAAACTGAAAATGGCATAGATTCCATGCCAATGAAAATCAGTCCACAATAACACAAATGGCATGTCATGTCACCTTTCTATTTTGATTTAACATCCCGAGTGATTAAAATAAGAACAAATCGAAATTTCATTGAATAAACTGAAAATGTTTAAATTTTAGTGAGTAAAATAGGAGAAGGAATAAAGTTGAATGATTAATTTTATAATTTACACTATACCCAAATTTCTATCTTGGTGTACAATGCATGTAATCTTTTTTTTTTAGAATATACGAGTAGATTTCCGTTTTAGTATCTTCTAAGCACTGCTTTCTATTCTATAAAAAAATCCCATATTAAGACTTTTCACCAAATAAATACTCTTCACCCCAAACCTCAGATCTGCACACAGTGTTTGAATTGTCCAGTAAACATGCACTCAGTGTCTTGTTCTCGGTGGCTGCTTCTACTTCTATGGTGTTGGACCATCTCGGTCCATGCCATTCCACCACGAGACCCGGTCCAATGCAACAGAACCGTGTGCGCCGTCTCCAATTCATACGTCTATGGGGGGATCGAAAGGACTGTCACGTCAAAATCGTGAAATATTTGACTACCGAAGAAGAGCTTCGTTCGGCCGTCGCTTACGCCAACAAAAACAAGCTCAAACTGAAAGTGGTCAGCAAGTTTTCACACACGATCCCGAAACTAGTCTGCCCTTCGTCAAGCGACTCGTTGATAAGTACGGCGAAATACAATTACTTCATTCAAATCGATTCAAATTCGACGGTGACGGCCGATGCTGGGATGGCGTTACGTGACCTGATCGATCAGGTCGAAAAGTTCGGGTTGAGTCTGGTTGCAGCGCATATTGGGAGGGTGTTAGCGTGGCGGGGATGAAACCACCGGGGCTCATGGAAGTTCGTGGTGGGGCAAAGGAGGAGCCGTTCATGTTCATGTCATCTGAATTAGCATGATTGTTCCTGCAAATGAATCGGAAGGGTACGCCAAAGTGATCCAAATTGGACCTCAAGATCAACTCCTTAATGCAGCTAAAGTTTCATTGGGAGTTTTGGGTGTCATCTCCAAGGTAATTTATTTCTCTTAATGAAGCTTTTGGACTAATTTGAAATCTGATATATAGTTTATGACCTCTTGTACAATTAACCCAAAAACGACAATAGCGTAAATGTCTATATCATGTTATGCTCTTATTTGTCTCACGGACATTAAAATATTAGAAAACGTTGCGGCAAAGGAAACATAAAGTGTACATATCTAATCAAGGCATAATTTTAAAATTAGCCCCTAATGTTTCTTAAAATAGTCATTTTGATTTTTTATTTTTAGTATTTAGGCTCTCAACATTTATTTTAAGACAAAAGAATTAATCATTTTTCTAAATTTTAATTTTTTAATATATATTTTATATCGAGGAATAAAATTTATCATTGAAGTTTTATGGTATATATATATATATTTCTATCTAATCCAATTATAAAAAGTAAACATTTTGAAACATCCAACTAAACATGAATTATTCTCAATGACCAAACCAGAATGATTTGAATAAAAAATACTTGAAACCTATTAAATGTCTCAAATCCGAAATTGATAATAAAATAGTTTAAAAAATTAAAAGAGTAAATATATATTTTGGTACATGAAGGTTTAATTTAGTATCTAACTTTTTTAGTCTAATAATTTCAAGGTTTAATTTTGGCATCTATTTTTTTAATTAGACACCTAAACTTGAAATTCGATGTTTGAACTTGACTTTATAATTTAAATTAACTCAAATAAATCATTTATTATAAATTCAGTTTGGACCATAAAATAAAATCCGGGTACTAATTAAACCAAATAACCATATCTGTGCGTGGTTTTGATCTTTGAAATATGAGAAATTTTGCAGAAAAACTGTTCGAGAGTACCAAGAGTGTCGCCGGAAAATGCACGTTGGCGGCCACTACATTATCGTACAAGAAACTGATCGCCAACGGATTGAAGAACAACGGCCAGATCTTCACCGGCTATCCGGTAGTAGGTCGCCAAGATAAAATGCAGACATCCGGTTCATGTCTATATTCATCTACGACAAGGATCGACGCCTCCTGTGCTTGGGACCCCAGAATCAAAGGCCTCTTCTTCTACGAATCGACGGCGATATTCAACGTTCCGAAGTTTGGAAACTTCATCAAAGACGTCATAAAACTTCGTGACATAAAACCAGAAAACTTCTGCGGCATCGACCACTACAACGGCATCATGATCCGATACATAAAGGCTTCCAACGTATCTAGGCCAACCCGAAGACTCGGTCGTCATCGACTTCAACTATTATAGAGCCGACGACGCCTCGACATCGAGATTAAACGAAGATTCATGGAAGAAATCGAGCAAATGGCGTTCTTCAAGTATGGGGCACGACCACATTGGGCTAAGAACAGGAACCTGGCGTTTATGAATGTTTGGACCAAGTACCCGAATTTCGACAAATTTGTCGCGGTAAAGAAGCAATTGGACCCTGAAAACATGTTTTCCGGTGACTGGTCAGACGAGATTTTGTTCGGAAAAGGACGTGTAAGAAGCGATGGATGTGCTTTGGAAGGGTTTTGCGTTTGCTCAGAAGATGGACATTGTAGTCCAAGGGTACTTCTGCAAACCAGGGCTTGTTTATAATGAAGCTAGAGTCTGCAGATATTCACCATCCTCCTCCTCCAATCTTTGATGCTTTAGCAGATTGGTCCTCTGATTTTGATTTTGATTTTCAAAAGAAATTATTTAGTAATTGCAACGAGAGACAACAATAAACATTGCTAAAAGAAAGAAAAAAGCATTGTTGTTTTGGATATTTAATTCTAATAGTGTAATTTGTAAAATCTTAGTAAGGACAACTCGATTTAAAACAATTATGATCAAAATTTAAAATATTTTAAAAAAGAAGTTAACAACAGACAACTTTATTGGGATATAGAATTACTAATTAAGCTTCAAATATATATATATCATAAAGGTAGGCATCAGAGGATAGCATCTGTTTATCTTTTCTTCGTCAAAGAGCTATATAAATTACAGCTGAATAAATTGCTAACAACAAAGGGTATACTATCCCTGTAGGGGGTATTATATTTGACTGATTGCCTGTTCTGTTTCAACTCTCAATAACTAGCTCAACAAAGGAGCATATACCAACTTATTTAAATCACAAACACACACTTCTGAGTACTAATAAAGGGTAATGTTTAGGTTTTACAAACACTATTTCAGGACAACACCAGCATACAACACGGATTACTTTCCGTTGGTATGTTATGTAAGGAAGAGTGTGCAGGGTGAGGCATAGGCGAATATTTACAGGCCTTACCATGGACATAACTTCATTCTTTTTCTCTTTTATGTCCTCAGGCTTGGAAACGGAAAACGCGAGTGCAAGTAGAATAATATTAGTTTGAGTGGTAAATATGACTGCTTTGATGTCTGATACTTGATGAAGCTTTGAAGCTTTTCTTTGTTTTGTGGTATCGGAGAAGGTGACTCGGATTTTGCCTGCAGCAAATTAAGATAAGTCAAATACTGATTGAAGAACTCAAGTAGGGGAATGCAAGGGAAGAGATCGATTTGAAACCGAAATGAAGTCAAAAAGGATTCTGAGATGCTACCAGAAAATAGAAAAGTATCATGAAGTTCGATTTCGTGAAAGCTCTTTTCTAGCTGTAAGCTTCCTCAGACGCTTGTGTCCAGCCAATTTTGCCGAACCAGACGAGGGAGCTTTTTCCCTTCCAAATTTCAGGTCTTCACTACCGGTCATGTAAATATTTGCAGCTCCAGGCACAGTAAAATCAGCAGGGTTTCTATTAATGCTGCAGATTCCATTCTCTGAACCACTCTTTGGATGAAAAAGAGTACCGCTCGAAGTATGGGCCTTCTGCTTCTGTTTTGTTGCACTCTCCATGGCATGAAGCTTATCGGAAGACATCATAAATTCTGAATTCCTAAGTGCCAATTTCGGCATACTATGAACAGGAATAGATCCACAAGTTGTGCTTAAGCCACTATTTGAAGATACATCTTTTTGAGATTTGTGGTTTTTATTCTGCCTTTGTGAGTCTGAGTATTTTTTCTTCACTTTTTCTCTAGACTTCAGCGATAACTGACCTGTAAATTCAGGTGCTTTCTTGAAAATTTTATCATGCTGGAATGAAGAGGTAGAAGGACCAACTGCTGCAGTGGCTGACATACACTCACAGAAACTCCCGGGTAAGTGGCTTTTACCGTAGCAATCAAATGATGGATGTTTCATTGAATTGGTTCTATATCCACCAGATGGCATGCTTGAAAACTCGTTTTGACCAGGAAGAAAGGGAGTTTTCTTAACGAACCTTTGGTTTCCATCGACATCAACGGGTGCCCCTGACTGTAACCCTGCATCCATAAGGCTGAGTAAATGCATGGCTGGTATGGTTTCATTAGAATACAGATCTAACGACCCTGTCCCGTTATGTTTGCAAGAAAACGAGTAATCTGCATGTGTCCTGCCAAGCGCTTCAGAATCGAACTTCCTACAATGCTTCTCATAGTTTGTACCCCGATCCAAGAAGTTCCTATCATCATTTTGACACATATATCCCTCAGGTAAACTGCTGGTGCAATGTCTAAGCACATCTAATTTTGTCACCTGATCTGCACACTTGCTAGGGATGCTAAGCATATAGGGCAAGTTATTCGGCATCATGGATGGCCATAGGTGAGCCACTTCCTTGTTCTTCTGTGGAGCTCTATGGCATGTGTTACAAACTCCCAACTCCTGCACATTAGCATGATAAGTTTTTTGCCCGGCCATATTTCCAACCCACTGGCAATTTTGAGATCTGTTTTGCTTGATGGAATTGGTGGCAGAAAATTGGACTCCGTTCAACGGCTTCTCTCCACATAGTGGAAAAGGCTTAAAGCCTGCAGGGGAATATCTTTGTTCCAATAGGTTCATGCTGCAGTGGTTTCGGCTCATATGAGAGAAATAATCCACTGACTTTTGTTTGCTAGATCCCACAGTATCCCCTCTTAAAATTTTGTCAATTCTTCCGTTTTTACCTTGAGGTTTCGATTTATCAGTGGTCTCTTGAAACAGGTTCATCTCTTCATTTCCATATGCTTTATTGAGATCCACCAGCTGATGATTTTTGGAATTACTGGTTTCTGTAACTGTTTATCAATTTCAGTATCAGGAAGACACCTTTCATACTGATTCTTTGCCATGAGTTCAGCAATTTCCATTATGTCATCTACAGATCCTTGCTCAGATGCCATTTCAACACGTTTATCATAATGTTCCCTAGAAACTATCACATGGTCCTGAAACTCCACAGTTTTCCCATTGTTTCTTGTACCACTGAAATCCTGCAAAAGAAAAAGACAAGATGGGGAAAAACAACCTCTCAGTTTAACCGGAACAAGGGGAAAACAGATGCATTAACTAGATAAATTATTACTCATTACTTGGGAAATGTCTTCTATAATGTTCACATGATTGCTTATGTTAATCAGTGCTAACATAAATGCTATCTTCAAAATTATAAGCAACAACACTACTAAGTTTTCGCATCTAAGATGGCATGAGCTTATATCAGAACCAGATTTTGATGAGACAACTATGGATGCAAGCAGAAGTAGTTTCAAAGTCTAAAGAACTTAGGATGATTTCATACCTAACCTTGGCAGAAACTTATTCTGAGAAAACACTTACGGTCAGAGTAAGCATAAAGATAAAGCTTCAGTTTTCCATGACAATAAACATGCAAGTATATAAAAGTTCTCAATTATGTGAACCAGTTTTCTTGAAAAGGAAAAAGATAAATGTACCTTTTGAAGTTTTATAACTGGTTCAACAAAAGGGAATGTTTCAGGCTCAAAAGCAACAATAAAGTTTAATCTGGAAACGTCAGAAACTTTGTTCTAAATGTTCATCATAACCTGAATATTTCAGGCATGTCAAAACTGAATGTAAAATAAAACTTTGTTACAGAGGCAGAAAACCAAATTTGAGGAAAAGATCACACAAACTGTTCTGCAACAAATATCTTGTGAATATATTCGATTTTTCATTTTAGATGCCAGTTCAACAACTTTAGAACAGAACAAAAGCCCATACCATTAGCCGAATCAAAGAACTCCCAACTTCAGCAGGAGATCTGTCCTGCTTCTCATTCAGGAACGGTATCTTGTACGTGGTTTGATTACTGTTGAGATCAACATGCATTCCCTTCCAATCGTAGGCACCAGCTTGAGAAACATAGTTCATGTTTAGATCTTTCCTCTTGGTATTGTATTCACTGAGAACTTGCCCTTGTCCATCTCTGATTGGAGTGCTATATTTTGCATCATATCTTTTAACAGGCAAGCAATTACTAAGAGAACATTCCAGTCCTTTTTCAGCTGATGCATCCCAGGTTACTTCAAGCGGAACAGCTACATTCCCAGTTTGCCTTATTTCTACATCTTTCCTCGAAATCGGACCTTCTCTGAGAATGCCATTGTTCCAAGGAACTCGAGAAGCTTGCCAATCATGATCTTGATGAATCTTGCTCTTTTTCTTCAACAGATTAGATTTTTTCTCTGCCTTCGCAGCAAATTCGGGAATGGGATTTAACCCACTGCTTGTAGATACATCAATGGATTTGTTCAAAACAATATCAGTGGCATCAGTCTTAGTGATATCTCCAAGGGGCTTTTTCTGTCTTTCGTTCTGCAGATTTTCTCGTGACAGGCGCAAGGACGGAAATTCATCAAAATTCTGGGTCTTTTTATTTTTCTTCTTTCCTAGAATAGAAGTTTTATATACTTTAGCGTTAACCAGATTGCTCTTTGCTGGAGTCTGTGAACTGCTTCTGTTAATTGTACCTTCTGAATCAGAACTTGTGATTCCATCAGCAGTTTCTGCATCTCTGTTGAAGGACTTAAGGTTTTTATGCCCATTACCAGGAGAGCACATAAACTCCCCAGGAACCCATTCTTCATCCTGAGGCATCTTTCTTTTCTTTCTACAAGCATTTCCTTGGAAATTGATCTGACCTTGGGAAGCAGATATTGAATCTATGCCTATAGATGCATCAGGAATGGTACTAGAAGGAGAATCTTCAGCACTCGTGAGATTAGTTTTTTCATCTTTGTTTTTATCCAACAATTCAGTCAGTAGACGCACCTTACGGTTTTTTCTTCGATGTAAGCTGCCAGACACAGCTCCAGGCAATACCTCATCACTTTCAGACGATGCATAATCACAATCATCTAATTCCAATGAAGGATGTTCATCTCTATGAGTCTTGATAGCATTGGGAACCCTATGAACCATACTCGCTATCCCATGGGATTCAGAACCTTTCACCAACTCCATCTGTTGATCACATCCATATTTTCCTGTTTGACGTGTTTCAGTGGCATCCTTAACTATGCACTCCGCATATGATTCAGGAAGCTTGGGACTGGCAATTTCATTATCCTTTAAATTGGGATTATGAAGCTGCAGAGAAGCCACTGTTGCAGAAATCAGAAGCAGTGTTATTGCAGCAATGCAGGAAAATACTTAAGCTTATTTAGATGGTCTTTTTACTCATGGTTGCCATACCTTTTTCACCTAAACGGAGTGTTTTCCGCATAAGGCTAGAAATAACTTCTATTCCAGCATAATTTGAAATATGGATTTCCTTATTATTGTTATTCTCTAAGGTATCTGTTTTCCCAGGAAAAAAAGAACCAAAAAAAATTAATGTTCTAATTCAGTGGTAAGTAACCATGTAAGGATTAAGCTAAGATAGAGATATACCTATGGCGTGTATATCTGCATTTTCTGCTTTCTTTTCACTTTTATCACTAACTAAAGGATGACCGGCACTGCTATTAACATTCACACAAGCAATAGCACCAGATTTTCTTGAGTCAGCATCCCCTAGGGATGGCATATGGGGACAGGAGCCAAAGGATTTCAATTTGCTACTATTATTAGTAACAATTCTTTCTTCATTTATACTGCATTGGGTCCCAGTTTCCGGCAGACAGTTCTGGCAACACCACCATCTGAACTTCGGAACAAGTAAAGGAGGAAGCTTACAGCTTTGTTCTTTTAATATATTATGGCCACCATCTAATGCAAATGGCCAGCTTTTCTTCCAGTCTTTCTTGCGCATCTCAGATGCATATTCACTGCACTTAAATCAAAGGGATTTTATGAGGAAGACTTCCAACATGACCATTAATACACCACATATAGCAACTACCAAGTAGAACTATATATCTGCAGAAGCCAATTATGGATATCAAATCATGCAATAAGTTTTCCTCGATTTATAACTAGAATATCCAAAACACTTTTATCCGTTTCCCAAAAGCGTGGAAAAAGTCATCATGCGCAAACTCAGACAAGCAAGCTAAGAAGTTACTGAGGAAGCACAAACAACAGAAGGAAAGATATAAGTTAATCGATTATATCAATAATTCCCATTTTGATAAATAATTATTTCAAGGCATTCATTAGTAAGTAGATGCAATACCCTCTACCACCAAGGAAAAGACATCTGCTCAAATTTATACACTTATTGCGTATCGCCCCACACTCAAACAAAAGCTACCATAAACCCATTTTCAACAACAATGGTACTAAATAGAGAGGTTGAGGGACTTCAACAAATATACAAGAGCACTGAATACTAAGGATCGTGGCTTACCGGATAGAAAAATGTTCACACTTCCTAGTATCAATGTCATCAGCATTGACGAGATCTCTGGATATTATGTCGTTTTTTATGGGTGATTCGACAGACTTGACGACAATATTAGAACTGCAACTGTGATGAGCTTCCTCGACCACAGTAGTTGTCTCCATGCTATTATGTATTAACAACAATTAGACATGTCATGAGCATTGAGTAACAATACAAAGTAACACTGTCCATAAGCAATGTAATCAATCCGCTAGAAGCACTAAGATATTAAGTATACCACAAGAACTGAAGAACACACGTCATAATTCCTTGGAAATTCAAGATGAAATAACAGTCAAAAAGTAAAATGGATACACTAAAAGGATGAGAAGCTGGAAAGCCCCTATATATGGTGATTTATTACATAAAATAATAACTTATTCCAGCAGACGAGGGAATACTATTCAAAGGAACAAAATTGGAAACCCTAGTTCCTAATGAAATCAAACATGAACATGTTTGCAGTCACTAGATTAATGTGTTAATAACATTCTAATAAAATAAAAGCCAAAGCTCATTCATTTATAATACAAAGTAAATCATCAATTAACATCGATAAGGTAAACAACATGCTAGGGTTTTATCAGATAACATAACTAAAGTTTTAATCCCCTCTATATCAAAGCAAAAAACAATCAACTTTAGAACTCACCTTGAAGCCTTCGAGTTTGATGTTAAAATAACCCATATCAATCCATAAAATGAAAAAAAAAATCTAGGGTTTCAAAACTATCGAATTCACGAGCTAGTGAACAGTGAACATAATTTCTAGCACCAGAGAACCTATGGAAGAAAACACATAAAATATCCCATAAAAGTCAAAATATGAACTCATAAAGCAAAACCCAGATGTCAAAATGGAAATAAAAGGCTATACTTAACGTACTAAACACAGTAAACTAACCCCAGATAATTGAAATAAAAAAGTTCCAGCTCAGCTGAACCTAATATTAATCAAAAGAAACGAAAGACCAAAAAGAAAGAAAAAAAACCCCAGAGCTTGGAATTGTGATTAGATCATAGAAGAACATACCTTTTTTGTTTGAGTTAGGTACCTGCTAAGGAAATCCAAAACCAACCCACCTTAGATTCATCACGGCCAATTGAGAGAAAGGTATCAAAAGAAAGAACATTGATCGAGCAAGAAGAAGATTGAATCTTTCTGAAGGGATCGGCAGCTCGTCGTGTATAATTTGAGTGCGAAGTTTTGAGAAACCCTAGTTTAACAAAGGAGAGGTTTGTCGATTCTTTTAGAGAGAGAAAGAGAGAGAAGAGTAGACAAGAAAAAGAGTTTTCATCTTTTGTCCTTGAAAGGAGGGTCTTTGTTGTTTATTAAAAATCATCTTGTAAAATATATGTGGGTAAAATATATAATAGGTGCCTAAACTATGCTAAAATAATATTTTTAAGATATTAAACTTTTAAAAATTATAAAATGATAATTACATCTATCAAATTATTATAAAATAATCATCTCAATGTTTGTATGATCATAAAATTTGATAATTATCATTTTTTATTAATTTAAAAAATAGGATAAATTATATATTTACTCATTCAATTATCACTTTGGTTCTGTTTTGGTTGTTAAAAAATTAACAAAACTACTGACATGTCATTTTTATTTTTTCAATAATAATGTGATATTACCTTATGATGACATGTTAGCATTGTCATTAATTTTTTAACTACAAGTGACCAAAATATAATGTTAGTGATAATTTTAAAAAAAGAGTTGTATGATCAAAATTAAATTAAAGTGATAGTTGAGTGGTTAAATACATAGTTTACCCCAAAATGTAATGTTCATTTTGTAATAATTTAATAAATTAAATGATTATTTTGTAACAATTTGATAAATTTAATGACTATTTTCATAAGCTTTAAAAGTTTAATGACTGAAAAGATTATTTAGGTATAAATTAAGAACCTATGATGTATTTTACCCTATTTATATAAATATTAAACGTTATTTTTTATATTTATTTTAGAGTGAAAGTTAAGAGAGAGCAAACAAATGCTGGGAAAAAGGACCAATGGATTTAATCCACGTGGAGGTGAGCTCCGGTTCTTATCGCATTTTTCCATTATGGGTGTTGCCCTAGATTGGAATAGTGAAAAAAAAACGCACTATCTCTACGCGTATGCTCCACGCTCCTGTTCCTCGGCATTAATTTCCTTTTTTAATACTCACTGTCGTATCTGCGGTCTCAAAGATGCCTTAGCACGTAAACAACGTTTGATTGGACCTCATCACAGAGCGTGGTGTTAGTTTGACATGAAAACCCTAAGGTTTAATAAAATGGGTAAGTCTTGTTAACCCTAACTAGCCCATTTCCACATTAAAAATATCTAAACCCTCCCCCCAAACACACAGAAAAAACCCTTAGCGTAGTTGGTAAATGGAAGGCATTTAGGCTGTGGATCACATACATTTTGATTTGGGACACCTTCCACCTCTCTTTAGGTACCCTACTTTGATGCTTTAAGCTTACAATCTTCATTGCAATTAAATTCTTTCATTATCTATATATATACAATGTGTTCATCAATGATTCTTTACTTGAAGATTGGGGTCAACAGGAGAGAAAAGTCCATCCTCATCGGGTAGATTAGGGTTCAAGATAATAAATAGGAGAGATATTATATATGAATGTTAAATATAAGCTCACTTTTGTTAATTATGACGTGTTGGGTGTGAAAATAAATAAATAAAAAGTTGAAATCTTTACTCGTAGATTGAGTATATTGAATCCAAATTCGTTGTTTCCAAATTAAAAGAAATCACTGAGTCAATTTGGAAAATCACTGAGTCAATTTGGAAAGGAAGTGTGTCCAAAAATATACATCTTCCCAATGTTGGTTGCTTACTGGTTATTCAATGCTCGTGAATTTAGAATTAAAATCAAATTTGAATTTCATTTTAGCTGAATATCATCTCAACTCTTTACAAATATCACGCCTAATTATACAACTTTATATTAAATGGATAGTCCATGCTTTTAATAAAAATTCGGTAAACGATCGTCCGACAAATTACTCAAAGTTAATAGTACAGTTTAATAATATCAAGCCGAATCAAAATCTTTTGAGTTAATCGAGTTGACGAAATATACTTTATAACTCAAATTTTATTTGAAACTTTTTCGAGTCGAGTCAATTGTTCAAGTTTATGTTTAAACTTAATTATAAATATTTATAATGCTATAATACTAATTGATTCAAATTTAAACGACTTTATATAACTATATACATATATATTTCTTTATATTTTTTATATGTGATATACATATATCATGCAGAGTTGAGAAATTCAACTTGAACTTGAAAATCAATCCATTAATTAATAAAAAAAATTGAGTTATTTGAGTTTTATTTTATAACTCAAATTTTATTTGAAACCTTTTTAAGTCGAGTTGAGTCAAGTTAATTTTTTAACATCAAGTTGAGTGAAAAATTATTTTTTCCCACCATTATAGTGTAAAAAAATTACTCTCCGTCCCACTAAATTCGTCCATTTTAATTTTTAAACTTGACAAGGCCAGATATAGCATTTCCTGTAAATGTGATAAGTCAACACATGACCAATCCTACTGAAGAGCATATGGCAGCATCAAATATAATTCTCAAGTACTTGAAGAAAACTCCAGGACACGGTTTAATGTTTAAGAAGACACAAGACAGAACTGTTAAGATCTTTACAGATTCTAGTTGGGTCGGAGACCTTACTGAAAGGAGATCTACTAGTGGCTACTGCACCTTTGTTTGGGGAAACCTTACAACTTGGAGAAGTAATAAACAATTGTCGTTTCAAGAAGTAGTGCTGAAGCTGAATTCAAAGCATTAGTATTGAGAATATGCGAAGGAATTTGACTACTTAAACTACTGAAAGAATATTAGAAAATTCAATGCCCTTTTTACACTTATTTGTCTGATTCTTTTACACGTATTTGTTTGATTTTTTTACACGTATATCAATCACTTTTGAGGGATAATTTTTTCGTTTCCCTCGTTTTATATAACGTACATCTAATTAAATTTATTTCCTAAAATTATGTACTTATTAACAAAAATTATAAGATGTAGAGAATAATTTTTAAATAGAGTTGAATGGAATAATGGTAAAGAAGAAGTGGGTGGCTAAGGGGTCTAATGACCGAAAGAAAGAAAGGATACATTAGACGTCATCCCTTTGTCGTGGAGAGGGAGAGGGCCCTCCTTTTCTACCATTACTACCCAACACCCAATTATGCATCAAATTAGACGGTCAATTCAAAATAAATGTACCTTTACATGAGCTATACTTTCCCCAGATCATAGCTGCCTTGTTCCTGGAATTTCTGCAGATTCCCATACAGGGTAGATGTACTAAGCCCTCCAGGTCAAGAACATCTCCATTATTTTGAAAAAAAAATTATTAAATTTAATTTAATATATTAAAAAATAAATAAAAAATTACATATCCGTTATTCTTAAGAAAAGGATATTAATTTTTTACCCTTATTCTTAACTTTCTAGATCTGCCATATTCTCATACTAAAGTCAAGTTTGACTTGGAATCAGGTTTGGTTCGGTGATGGATATAAACATTCTTTTTTTAAGTAATAATCTATACATTCTTTTAAATGTGAACTAATAAAAAGAAATTCGAATTTTAAGAATAAACATTTATTTACCCTAAATTATACTTGCATCCGTCAATGATATGGTGGAACTCACCGTGTAAGGCATAGCAGAATGATATTCGATGGATCTGATTATAGGAAATTCTAAAATACAAGTTGTTAACATAAGGTTAAAAAATGACAGAAATTGATCATAACCGAAATTTTTTTCAAAAGTGTAACTTTTTAAGTTAAACACAAAAATATTTTCGGTTGCAACAAAAAAATGTTACATTTTTCATAAAAAACTCAGTCGAAAGTCTTAAACCCCTCACAATATAACTTTTCGGTTGCAACAAAAAACATAATAAATTTGTATAATTTTTTAAGTTAAACATTATAATATTTTAAATTAAAATCATTTTGAATTAATCTTAATTAAGCTACCGTAAAATAAATTACCATCTGATTATGTTTTTCTTCTTTTTCCAGCAGTAATAATGCTTTAATATCTATTGAAAGGAATATATATATATATATATATATATATATATATGAAATCTGGGTATAATGAGGAAAGAGGTTAGGTGATATATAAAAGCTTGGAAGGTAAATTAAAGGAGAAAGGTATCGTGAATGATGATTGTTTTCTTTTTTATACAGTTCATATTTATTTTATTATATATATTTGAGATTTATGATTTTCATTTCCAAAAATATATATATTTTTAAGATTTAAATTTAAATTTTATCTTAAAATATATAATATATCTTATTATTATATTCAACTTTTATCGATAATAAACTGAAAATTGATAGTAAATGTTTTCATTTGGCGCAAAAGTCACAATTTTTTTTATTAGTTTGGGTTGATTATAAGGAGGACTGTGAGTGTCAAATATAGAAATTGTATAAAGAATTTTTTTTAATTGGATTAAAATGAATAATAAATGTAAATTTATGTTTAAGAATGTCAATATTTTTTCAAAAATATTAATTTTATTTTTAAAAAAATATTTTTATATTAAATTTATAAAAGATTTTTTTTTCAATTTTTTTTGAGGTGTCTTATGACAACTCTCACTATAAGTTGATTACTTCAGTGATTACAAGATAATATTTATTCGAAATACTATTAACTATTTGATAATAAACATTTAAACATTCTTACATGCCTCGTGCTTAAACTCAAGACCTCTACAAATAATAATCATCCTTTTTTACCATTAAGATAATTTGGTTCGTGGCCACAACTCTTCTCTATGCTAAAAAAGAGTTTATTTTCTCTCAATTAACCTAAACTATATTATATGTTGCTTGACTGTATATACTGTTATATATACACTCATTTTCCTACCAGATCTGTTTCATATACATACGTATTTATATACATATACAGTGGTACTCAAGGATATGGTTATACTTTTGATGAGTTTGTCTTCTTCTTTTGCATGCATGAGTCCGTATTTTTGCGAATAATTATAGTAATCTATAATACTATGATTAAGAGATTTATTGTTATCCTTTGAAGTTTCGAGTTCGAATATCACATATGTAGGAGTATAAACAAATATTATTAAAGGGTTGAGAATATTTAAACGGATACTACATTAGATTCACTCCAGATTTATAAAACTAATATAATTAATTTTGTATATTTTATTTTTGATATTTTAATGTTTCATAATATTGTAGAAGTATACCTTATTGATTTTGTAGAATTAAATGTTCTATTTCAAACTAGATAAGTGAATCGAAATATTTTACATAAAAACAATCAGCTTTCGTTGTCGATTCGCGATAAATGATTTTTTTATTATTTTATTTGAAAAATATATAAAATTAAAAATATATTTATCCTTTGATAGATCGTTCGATTAAGTTTGTGCATATTTTGTCAATTGTTACAACATGTGTAGAAGGAATATTTTTTTCACAATAAAAAATATAATTTTTCTGAAGAATTGAATTAAAGATCAACAGATGAACGATTGTTGCGTTATATATATTGAAAAATATTTTTTAATAACGTGATAAGATCAATTATTACAACATGTGTATATTTTGTCAATTGTTACAACGTGTGTAGAAAGAATAATTTTTGCGATAAAAAATATTTTTTTTAAGAATTAAATTAAAGATTAATAGATTAACGATTGTTCCGTTATATATATTGAAAAATAATTTTTAACAACATGATATGATGGACTCATCTGATTGGATAGTATCGTGAAAAATGTCTAAATTGAGGTGTCTTTTAAATATGAAGGTTGGGTCAATATTACACATTGATTTACAAATCAAAATTTTACTGCATTTGTTTGTAAATTTACCATGAAATGGAGTATGAAGCAAATAGATTTCAGACAGAATGAACAACTAGAATTGCAATCGCAACAATCTTATCTAGATTTCAGTCACAATTCAATTTCCCTTGGGATAATGTCTGCTTGGTAACCTACATATATGAACTCATCAATGTTGTTTTATTATCCTCAGCAAATAAACTTCACATAGAGAGCTATACCTAAAATTCATATTCGAAAAGTACAAAAGGTGAATCGTGGTTAAAAACCGGCTCTTACAGTTGATTTCGGTTCACAGCACCTCCATTAGGGTTCACCCTTTTTTAGGCATAGCAGCAAGTCTGGTATACATTCTTGCCATGGACTGGAATCCCCTCGTATCACCAGATCTTAAAAGATTGCCTGTCCAGTAGGAAAAGTGTCCATTGATGATATCGAGTATAAAAGCAGCTTAAACTTGCACAGAATTTAGCCTATACAGGTACTAATATATCGAAACCCCAAGAAAACACTAACTATTTCGGTCTCATCTACTGATTACTCCGAAGGTTGGAGGAAAAATAGGAATGGGATGGGAAAACAAAGAAAACGGGACACCGTTGAGAGGTCTCAGGCGGAACAATAAGGTATGCAATTCGCTTTTTGTTTCTTCAGTTCAGCATAGGCATACTATTTGGTTAACTTCACATTTTTTTACCATTGGCTATCAGAAAGAACAATATACATACACATCCCAGGTAGTAAAGAATACTGTTAATCAATTTGATATTTAAATTAATCTTTAATATCCTACGTAAATTCACATGTTAAAAACAGAAAAGAAACACAAACTTACCTGAATCACAGTTAAGCGGGCTATCGGGTTCTGGATGAGCCATTAAAGCTATTATAGCCCTACAAACAGACTGAAGTGTCCAAGCAGGACTCCATGCATTCTTCAATATATCAAGGCAAATCTCTCCCGTCTGTAGAGGTCATATCAATAAATATGGACCAAATTCTTAATTGAGCATGGAACTATTACATCTTACATATTAATAATCTGTACACTTAATGGAACTGGGATTCAAATAATATATATGGCATTGAAATGGATGACAAAGCTCGAATTTCTTCCACCACTAAAACAAGTTCTAGAGGAGATTATTTGTTCATATAGAAGATTGTAGCGTTACTGACTTTAATTCTCATCTTCTGACATTATGACCCAATTACTCCTTGACATCTGATAGTTAAAACAAGGGTAAAGTACACCATAGGTCCCTGAACTATTGCTCAAATAATCATTTTGGTCACTGAACTTTCAAAAGTTACAAAATGATCATTATAAATTTAATGACCATTTTGATAAAATTTAACGATTATTTTGTAATAGCTCAATAAATTTAACAACCATTTTGTAACCGTTTGAAAATTTTATGACTAGTTTGTAACTTTTGAATGTTCAGTGACCAAGACAATCATTTGAGCATAGTTCAATGAGCTCTGGTTTACTTTACCCTTAAAACAATCATTTAAAGGTTTTGCTCCAACTTGGAGAAGATAAAGTTTACTAAATGAAAGCAGAAACTTCCTTCGCCTCATACGATCTTTTGGAGGGAAGGGATAACCTAATCTCCCCTAGCCAGATCAATTGACAATCTTGAATACTACCATATATAAAAAAAAGTAAGAAATAGATTCATATTAAATGCACAATTTTGGCGTATAACCTCAAATACTTCATCAAGTTTTTTTTGTTTTGTTATGGCTTCCAAGTAAGAACTCAAAATTACCCACAAAAATAGAATGGGAAGTAGTCAAATACGAATAAGATACTGAGATGCTATTGTTATCTTTAAGCATCATTACATCTTTCTTTCATTCACTTTTATGCAATCAATATTCAGGTAGATAAAGGAAACCATACCTTGAAATGCACATTGGGGTGAAATATTTTTGTTAAGAACCGAACTTGAGGGGGTTGCAAAGGGTATTGCTCAGGAATAGAAAAGGCTAGCTGAAACACTCCGCCTTCGTAAGGTGTCTCGGATGGTCCCTATACAAAAGAAGGCTACATAATTCAGACAAAATAAAAACAACAATGTATGTACCCAGGATTCAAAGGTGAATATCGAATACAAGTGAGTGTTTAGACACGAGTATATTCAATTCTAAATGATAACTGTTTCACATCCGAATACGTATTGCAGAAAAAAAGGTCAAGTAATCATAGACAACAATAATGTTTACAATTTTCTTTTTTACTCCATTTTTAGTTTAGGAACAACCTTAATAAGAGCAGTCCACTTGAATATGTTGGAATCATCACAAACAAGTTGAATATCGGGATCGGCCGCTTTCTCTCGCTGCACCTCTTTGTATTCCTTAAACAATCTTGCTCTTGATGCCTTCATATAAAGATTTCGACTAAATCAATCTAGGCAAGAATTGTTCTTCGAAGGAGAACCCTCACTGAATTCTTAGGAAATCTCCATTTATTCAATTAAATATACAAGAACAAAATCTACATAAACATCAATTACCTGCATTTCTGGTTGCTTTGTAGGAAATTCAAAGATGCTTCGAAACAAATTATATATTTCTGTATCGATTAGGCAGATTGCTGCAAAATTGAAAATAGAAAAGCAACTACGTTAAGAATTTTCCACAAAATAAATTGAAGTTTTTATTGTTTGAGATCAGAGTCCTAAGGATTTGCGAGATCAGATCAAATAATATATGGGTTAAAGGAATTAATTAGAACGGTAATTGATAATTAATAAAAAAGATAAAAGCGAGCTTGTTAGAATCTGACCTGATGAAGTTCCCTAAGAAGAGAGAATGAAATGTGAATTGGGTGTGGTTTGATTTTGATGATGAGATTTGAGTATGGAGGAAAAAAGACCCGCCGGTTCAGTAGATAATGGGTCAAACAATTTGAGCTAGGGATATTCGTGTAAAATCGGGTCGAAATGTTTATTTATTCAAATTTATCTAATTTAAAATTTAATTCAAAGCATGAATCAAACCATCTAGATAGTAAATGAACTATTATTATTCGTTGAATTTTCAAGTTCAAGCAATATTAATGTTAGAAGTATAAGCGTCTCACGAATCAAACGACTTTGATAATAAATGAATTATTATTATTACTTGAATTTTCGAATTCAAACAATAATAATGTCAGAAGTATAAGCGTCTAGTGTCAAATAACTTACGCTCACACACATATATATATATATAAAATAAGGACTTAATTTGAACACATATTGATCCAATTCGTATTCTAAACTAATTTATTCTAAAAAATTTAAATTTGATCCGAGGCGGATGTATTTAAAGAACAAAAGAAGCAGTTACATACCTATTATTTTGATAAAATTGATAAATTTAATTTAGTACGATAAGTGAAATAAAAAAGTAAAGAAATTTATATATCTATTTTTCTATTTTAGACTAAATTTTTAAAATTTTTAAATTTGTCACTATATTCGATGAGATTTTAACTCCGTCACTACATTCGATAAGATCACACTAAATCTTCGGTCATTCGAGCTGATTCATGCCTTCCCCTCCAGTTTTTCCATTCTACGCCCATCCAATTCAAGAGATTATACGGAAATGGTATTTTTCTCTTGTTTTAGTTAATCCTTAATATTTATAATTTTATCAATTTAACCCTACTCTTTTATTTACTCGACCTTCAATATTTTGCTTTTCTTTTGTCAATTTGAATAAATTCAATTAAAATTTAACGAAATTGTTAAAAATTACACCATATACTAATATGACGACCCGTGTTAATATTGAAATGGTATCATTTTTGTCTCATATATCGAATCAAAAAATAAATTAAAAATACTATAAAAGATTTAAAGATTTATATAAAAAAAAAATCATTTAAGAAAAACATAAAATGTACAATATGAACTACCACCTAAATATATCTTTACAATATTTTGATCATTACAATTTACAATCAAATTGATAACTGAAGAAAGAAAATCCTTCAACTGAATAGACGAGTTAAACCAAAATAAATATGGATTTCAACAAGACCTGAACTCGAGATCTTAAAATAAACATCATCATATTCAACATTTTTATTAAAAATCTATACTAAATAAAAAATTAATAGGATTATCAAATACAATTAAATGTTGAATTTCTTTTCTCTACAGGTAGTGTGCCAAACATTCAACACAAGAATATATAGGAATATGAAAGATATTTACGGAGAGAATGGGAAAAGAAAAAGAAACAAATTAGTCATAAAAAAAATACGCAAAAAGGGAGAAACTAAACCCAGGTTTACATGCTACCAGCTCTTCCAGGAGTGGGTTTTGACGATTTAGTTTTCGCCATGTTAACGAGGTCTCCGAACAGCTTGTCCTCGGGTTTCGAAGGCTTACTCGGTGGAGTGTAAGATGAAGTGGGAACCTGGTAGGAAGAGTTTCTCAGGGCGTTGTCATCTCTGATGGATAGCCCGTACATTTGCTGATCGAGATACGGTTGCTGACCGTACCCATATGCTCCCATTTGGTTGCCGTACATCTGCTGCTGAGGGTACATTGAACCCATCTGGCCCCCTGGCATTTGCTGAGGATACATGGAACCAGGATACATTGAACCCATCTGGCCTGCTGGCATTTGCTGCGGAACCATGCCCATATACTGTGGTGCTCCCTGGATCGGCTGTGGCTGATAACCACCAAACTGGTTTCCTGGAGCTACGTGATTATTAATCGTCGGTAAATGATCGGTTGTGGTTGGCTGCAGGTACATACCCTCCATCTGAGCACTTCCCATATGCTGAGAACCTGCAAGTGGGCTAGAGTCTGCTACCTGTGCTTCCCAGGGTGGCGGCGGAAGTGAATCACTACCCGGGGCACCTTCTCCGCAAGCAAAAAAGAAAGGTTCATAAGATAATGTAGTGGAAGCAAGAATATAGTTATTTAGCCTGTCAAAGATGCCTAGAATGTCACTACAGAACTTTCCAGAGACTAAGACCAATGACTAGGTTTATTATTAATTTCCCAGAATGGTATGTGGCATGCCATGATTAACTATGTCCGTCCCTAGGGATTTGTGCCGAAAGTGAAATGATATAATTGTGCATAAGCAGCCTATTATAACCAGAAACAAACCATTGACAGGTGAAGGGGGCTGCTGCTGCTGAACCAGCTGACCATTCCAGGAAGGAACTGTGCCTTGAGCATATATCTGCTCATACTGAGGTGATACCATGTTTGGTGCAGTTCCATTCACATGAAAATTCTGCTGCTGCTGCTGCTGAATTTGAGGAGTCAAAGGGTTGGTTTGTCCGGCCAAACCTGAAGACTGGGTGTTAACAGAATTCGAGGTGTTGCCAACATCGGAGAACATGTCAAATAGAACAAGGGCATTTTGCTGCGATGCAGGAGTTGCATGTTGTGGTTGTGGTTCTCCCAAAGAAACAAGGGCAAGTGAATTATCTGCCTTTGGTGAATGGAAGTCATCGCCACTAAGCAAGTCCATTTTGGGATTGGCAGTGGGTGGAGTTGAACCATTAGTTGCAGGCGGAGCAGGAAGCAGTAACTGATTAAATGGTGAACTTTCAACAGTTCTAGAAGTGGATCTGTGATAAAAAAAAAATCCTGTTAATTAAAACTCAAGCTACAGAAAATATTAGATGCAAGGTTTTAGATAGCCCAAAATTAAATGAATTTCAATGTTAATCCTAGCAACCTAACATTTGATAAGTAACTCAGCCATTCCCGATAGAAGTAAATACACTACTAATCACTCTAATCGAAAAGGTTCAAAAGTTTATGACTTTAACATAAACAGGCACCTGCGATCATGTAATTTATTTCAAAAAACCCAGCAACTAAACCATACCAAGGATTCCACAAAACAAATTATTCAAATAGATGAAAGAAACTTGTAACCAAGTTCCTAAATGCTGAGAAAAAACTTGGTTACCACCAGTAATGCTTAGGAAAAGTAGTATAATGCAGCATATATAACAAACGGAATTTACAATTCTAAGCATATTCCTACATTTTTTGCTGTAATAAATAAAAAAATACAGAATACCAATAATTTTAATACCAGATCCCTGCATAAGTAACCCAATTCAAAGAAGCATAATTACCTCCTCTCAGACTGCTTGCCACTGTCTCCAGTATCAATTAGTGGACCGTCAACATTCACAAGTTCTCTTGCAGGTTCAGGCTTAGGATTGTTTGCTTGAGAAGTAGATGTTCCTGAAGCTATTGCTTCATGCCTTGCTAGTAAGCGCTGCAAATCATCATTCAATGCTAAACCTTGACATAGAAGTGACTCATCCCTATAATAGATAACCAAAAGGTGATATGTGTCTTAAATATAAAAAGTATTTCAGACAATTTCTTACAAAATTCCATAGAGCTTATAAGCTAACAACTTATGCAACTCATACACGATACATGCCATAATAAGTTAAAAAGGTCACACAAATTTATGTACAATGCACAAAAAGATACTAATTGGCATAGGTTAGGGAAAAGGATTTTGATAATTAAATCAATTCCTTCAGACTGCTCCGGCTTCTAATCACCATAGCAACGGATAGAATACAATTGAATAAAATAATGAAGTCCTTTGACCTCAACACATGATTTCACTACCTCATTTTGATAATGCATTTTTAACAAATGATACTAGAACAGATGCCTTAAGGACCACGAAATAAAAAGAGAGTTCCATAAGAAAAGTATGTCACATCCATGTTAAAAGATGACAGCCTCAAGTCATCAACTTATAGAAAGTACAAAGGGCCCCAGGGAAGTTTTAATAAAAGGTTTTCTTACGATGTTGAATTAACAAGATGTACAACTCTTTGTTTGTAATTACGACACTGCTCCACCAAGTCAACAATCACTTCCTGCCTATGTCCCTGAAACGGTAGAAGAAAGACCAGTAAATATGCAAATAGAAAATTGACTTAAAGAAACCACAACAGCATTATATCTTCAGATTTAGCAGCTTGAAACTCCATGTAAACTTTTGAAAAGATTTTTCATTACAAGAGCTAGAAAAATATAAGTTACACAGATAAAATGGTTCACCATCTGATGAATTCAACCAAAATCTTTACACGATGCCAGTTATATTAAGACATTGATAGTTACTCCAAATCCAATTAAAGACTTGTCACTTAGAAACTACACTACCATGTGCTTGCCAGAGCACAATTGATTTAGCATTTAAACAAAATACCCTTCATTCTCACACATATCAAATTGTGAACAAATACCTCCTTGTTTCCCGGATCTATTGCATTTAGCATTTCTGCAAGGACATCCATAATACCACGTGCATTCTGAATTTCTGTCAAACTGATAAATGAAACTTCTGTTAAAGGACTAGAAGTATAGAAATGTAACTTCACTACCAGTAATATGATAAAAGAAGCCATTCATATTGTTTCAATTATTATAATTGCTCTAGTCTGAGGAAAGTCCCTACTGCTCTATTTCTAGGAGACATGGATAATCATTGGTATAACAACACCGCAGTCATGTTTACCAGCTAAGGACAGGGAGCACTGATGTGATGACCAAAAATGAAGTTGAAACAAGTAGGAAGTTTTTCACCCAATACATTAAGGAGTGAATAAAGAGTTCGCTTTGACAATTATTTTAATACAGAGAAAATACTAAATAATTCATACGGACAAATAGAATGGACTCTTATCCTTATGAAGCCATTATCAAAAGCATATTTCAGTAAGCCCCGTAATTTCTTCATTAGAAAATGATAACAATAATTTAGTACAGGCAGCAGCCTTCTGAATAACCATATTACTGCAGCACAATTTCTACAAAGACATTATTCAGAAAATTTAAAACACAAACACTTAGGGGCTGTTTGTTTGCCTCTTAATGGAACCATTCAGCGCTGAATGTTGAACCGTTCAGCATTCAGCGCGTTTGTTTCACACCTCTAAATGATTCATTGCTGACTGATTCAACAAAACAGTGTTGAATGATTCAACACAGAAGACATTCTGAATGATTCAGAGCCATTATCAAACAACATGTCACATTCAGAGCTAATTCATACAGAGCCTCTGAATCATTCAGCATTTGAATCATTCAACGCTTAATCATTCTGAAGTAAACAAACAGCCCCTTAGGCCATCATGAAACTGAATACGAATAATGCAAAAAAAAAACCATGCTTTTATACCACTAAGAAACTGAGGAACAAAAAGATAAATACCTCAGGGTTGGAAACTCCGACTCTGCAGAAGACGCAGCTGTGTCTTGCTGATCAGAATTGCGAATGTTTGGAGGATAGGAAGACAAAGGTTGTGTTTGAGGAGGAGTAAGTACAGGTGCAGACCTCTCGGATCTTGGTGGGAATACTGCCCCAAGACGCTGACCAATAAACCAATTTGCCTCAGAGGGGGAAAAATGAAAAAGGCCACATCATGTAGAAGTACACTTTGCATATCATTGGGTTTTGAGTAACAAATGAAGAATAGCATATGGAGAACCGGATAGCAAGAAATGCAGCATCTCATAGACTCATACAATTTAAAATGAGAGGTCTCTAAGCAGACATACCAACAACTCCTGGTATGCAACATAATATTGCGGATATCTTGCCCTTGAACCTCCAAAAGCTTCTTGCCAAGTGTCGATCAGAGTCAATATCTTCTCTTTAACATTAAAGTCGGGCTACAATTGAACATTACAAAAACTGAGAACAAGTTTTACAAGAAGAAAATAACTACAATATGGGACCCCCACCTTTTTCTTGACGATTCTAACCATCTCATGAAGAATATCTTTCTCTGCAACATGCATATGGACAATGTCCCCGCAGTTTTTAATGATAGTTTCTAGCAGCTAGAACATAGAAAGTAAACCAAATCTAAACAATTTTAGTCCAATTATAAAAATGGTGATAAAACAGGAAACAAAAGTGATCGTTATATGTAGTGACTGGTGGAAATCAATGAAAAAGTTATTAGCAGCTTACAGCTAATGCAAGGAGTTGAACTTTAGGATTTTTACTTCCAAGCTTCTTTTTTATGCCTTTCACGACATCTTTTGCTTGCCTGATGATAATAAAATTTCACCACTAGATTTAAGAAAGAAATAAATATTCAAACTTAAAAGATATAAATCCAGTTGCCTTCTAGTGTTTCTCCTCTGGAGGGAGAAAAATGAAAATTGAAAAAAAAGAAAAGCTAATAGTAACCATAAAATCAGAAAAATAAACCTATAGGTCTTTCTACTTTCAAAGATGTCACAACGACTAAAAAACAACAAGCAAAAGCGACCAAAAATAATTAACAGAAACCAACAGTATAATACATAATTACCATTACGCTGCTCAAGTAAAACTAACTAAAATTCAGTTCCTATTCAAAAACGGAAAACTAAAAAGCAAAAGTCACCCAGGAAGCTTTCACTTCGATAAAGTAGCTGAGCTCTATAACCGGTCAAATTTACATGGAATTAAGTCCCTTATCAATCAAAAAAACCTAACTTAAAATCTGATTTATTATCAAATACATCCATGAAAGAAATTACATGTCGAACAAAGAAAGAAAATGCAAAACAAACTGATCAATCCTGATAAATTTCTTGAACCAAATCTCTCCCTTTAAATTGACGTGCTGAAAAAGCCAAGCTAATAATTATCTTCTCTTGAATCTACGATAACTAGCAGAACAATAGGAAATTTTTTTAATAAAGTAAAAGTAAAAGCAAATCGAATACAGAAATCTAGATTCACAATCTTCATATTCATAACTTATAATCAAATTGAACACATTCATCAATTGAATCATAAGAGCAATAACAATTTCCGAGCAGAGAAGATAACTTTGGAATCCAGAGCGACGCATACCCAGGGTCGTGATTAAGCATGTCGCAGATCTCGATATTCCGAGCCCAATCAGGCCCGATCAGCAAGTCACTCGTAGCTCTCTCCACCATAGAGTTCACCATCTTCGTTTACACACCGAAAACAAAGAAACAAAAATACTCTGATTCCGATCACCGTCAGGCGCGATCGCGGCGAACGGCAGGATATTCAGGAGTAGCTCCGGAACACTCAAACCTATCTTTTAACAAGTAAACCAAAGAGTCCAAACTCCGCAGGTCTCTCACTTTTCTTCCTCGCTTCTCTCGCCTTCAACCTTCCGTTTCTGAGATCAAATCAAATAGTGTTTTCCCCCTTTTTTTCCGTACATCCACTTTCCTTTTATTTTATATATATTTTTTCAATTATTTGGGAGGTGAAATAAAAAATGATATTTCTATGATATATATTTATTGCCAGCCGACGAGTTTTGACTCAATGTTTTAGATTTCTTTTTAACCTGAGTTCGGATTAATTTTAATTTTGTAAAGAATGAGGTCGAATTTAAATTAAGAATAAAAAACCAAAAACCTAACGTGATATAATAAAAAAATCTTTTATATATATATATATATATAAGGATAATTGTTATAATGCTCATCTTTGTATTTTTTTTCTCAATTAGCTTCCTATTTTATCGAATAAATATAAAAATTTTATTATATTTTTATCATGTCAGATGTGAATCTTAAATCTAAATTTTAGGTCGAGTTTAAGATCATGGTAAATCTCTTTAAATATGGTTTAAATCGAATATCAAATAGAAAGTTATAATATTCAAGTCAGATTTAAAATAAGCAATAAATAAATAAGTTATTCAACGCACAATTATCAAATATTAATCCATAAAACTTTTAATAAAAATAATAAAAAATCCAACAGAAAATAATACTCATATCACATTATATCATGTTATGTATGTTAACAATTTTTAAGGTAAACTATGTATTTAGTCACTCACATTGTTTTATAATTATGTTTTGATCACTTATCGTTAAAATGTAAACATAATTGTTAACATGATATTTTTTATTTTTTTCAATAATGATGTGACATCACCTTATGGTGTCATATCAAACTCATGATTAATTTTTGAACGGGAGATGATCAAAATGGAATTGAAATGTAATTTTAAGTATAATTTAAAAAATAATAATAATAATCGAATGACCAAAACAAAACCGTGATAATAAATAAGTGACTAAATACGTAGTTTATCCTTTTTTATGACCACCAGTATTTGATTTATTAATCGATTAATTCAAATTGGATGTTATATAAGTTCATAACAATGATAACTCTTTCAACATAATTTGTTCTCATCTAATATTTATTTGTTAAACCAACTAATAATTAATTATTTGTTTTATAGTTTTAGAGTGAACTTTTGATAGAATAGAAGGATCTGATTTAATCCAAAGAGTAGGGAGTCGTATTCAGTCTTGGGGGGCAAGGCGAATGCGATGGCTTAGGTCACAAGTCACGACAGGGGCTGACTAGATTCTTCACTTACCTCTTTGGAGGCCTAAATTTTAATCATTTCTCGAATCAAAATTGTGTTTAATCGGAGATGGACAGATGGAGCGGGTAAAAATAGTTGTTTTTATTAAGTTTTTTTTTTATATTTTAATTAAATATTTTATATTGATAATATGTTTTCTCTCATTATATCAGATCATTCATTCGTCCCAGTGTTCAACAGGTAACAGGGGACTGATCAGTGAACTTCGAGCATGTTCCTTTTGGCCTGACCGCAATGAAATTTTTGCTCCCTGCTGTATACTGCAGTCTCCATACTTGGTGATTTTAGTGACAGTAGCCAAAAGGGATCGGTGAATGCTTATAAAAACAAGTAAACTGATTCAAGCCAAGTAAAACTGGCTCGGGTATAAGCGTCGAATATGATCCGATTTTCAGTCCAATAACCTGTTTTTTCTATCAGCACAGCACTAGCAGGAAGATGGGGTTTAATCATCACCGATGTATCCGACACTTATACCCGAACAGTCATCAAACAGGGCATCATCCAACAACCTTCATTGCACCCACCGAGCGGAGATGTCTACTCAGGGTGTCATCAAACAGTCTTTTACGGCATGCCGAAAGTGGAGATCGTTCAGGCACTCGAATGAAGCAGTCCTTTATTATTGAATTTAATTCTCGTCAGAAACATATTTTTAATCTGATCCGATCATATAGATGGTTCTTTTCAGCATCCAAAAACAACGAGTACAGCTGACTTGTTTGGAAACGTCATTTTCGAGTGCCGTAACGACTGAGCAAATAAGTTATGTCCGTGACACTTAATCATTGTTTTGCTTTTGGAGAACAAAAAGAAAGCCAACTATGAACTTGAAACATAGATAATATATAAAGGAAGTCATTTAACTTAAAACCAAACAAACAAGAACCACAGGCTCATTCCTCAAGCTATTGCTTCACAAGGGATCCCAAACCCCATTTTTGAAGTGTCCATATATCACTCACTCACACAGCTCGCGGTGCTCAAGCTCTTCTAGCTTTATCAGGACGACCTCGACGAGAACCATTTTCTCCACCCCAGCCACGTTTTCCACCTCTGTTGTTCTTCCCTCCCCTAACAAAGCATAAAGAACAAAGGGTGTGATTATCATTGGGGATCCATTATTGAAACAATGGGAATAGAAGAGTCTCAGCACTGACCTCGATTGAAATCGGTTGTTGCTTCCCCTGTGCTTTTCTTGGTTACAACGGAGTTGATTCCAATACTCTCTCTCAGCATCACCTGAGTTGATCATTTCCTCATATAATACATATTTTACCGATACATGTGAATCGACCACTACTCTAAGGTGATCAGCAATTACATAAAACAATGAACAATCAAAGTTATATATACTGAATAAGGTTTAAATGAGATAAAGTGGAAGTCGTTTCTCCCTTACCGGTCACCAGTTCTAAAGTGGCAATGAAATTTTTTACAACCAGACCACCTTCTTTAGCCGAGACTGCAGCAGTATGAGCTTTCCGGGGTGCTTCGGATTCGTCAAACCGAATGTAACCCTTATCTTCCCCGATTCTAAAGTCAACATACTTCACAAGTACAAAAACATGCATCATGGGGAAGAACTTTATACAGGAAAAACATCAAATGTAATTATATGGTAAGAGAGATCGATTTCAATAATACCTTCAAAGTACCAAATTTCTTAAAAACATCCTTCAAATCCTCCCGTAAAACGACATTCATATCGTCTTTATAGACCGATGCAGCGGATTTACATTCCTTCTCATCAACCTCCTCCTCCTCAATGGGACTTTCATGTTTATCATCAATCTTTTCCTCACCATTTTGATTCTCTGCAGTCTTCGTTTCATCAGAATTTTGCTTTGCAGAGTCCCGAGTCGAAATGCTCTTCAATTTAAAAGCAACAAGTACGCCCTTCGGGTATCTGCAATGATCATTACAACTGCTTCAGTCACAAACATTTGACAATAAAGCTAATGCTGCCGGATGATTCTGATAAATAACATACTTTTCTTCGGTATCGGAGTTGTTCGAAGGACGATTACGTTCATACTCCTCTGCTTCTTTCTCTCTTATAGCATCAAAATCCTTCCTGAAATGAAACTATTAGTCAAAAGCAACATCAACTTCTACAACAAAACAACAACTTCAGCAAACAAATGTCGACGACAACTTACTTCGGTTTTAACTCCAGTTCAGCACCGGCAAAAGCCAAGCTTTGTCCCAAAACCTTTTCAACATCTTCCTCGGCCGAGAATTCGATCAAAGCCGTGCCGCAAAAATATTTCTTGTTCGCTACATTACGAGGCAACCTCACACTATTAACCTAAAAAGAAGCAAGAAAGAATATCATCAGCATTCATTCAACTGCAAATACATCCAAAATCCCAACAAAATTGACCCAAATTTTGACATTGTTAATCAAATACCTTAGCATACTGATTGAAAAAGGTTTCTAAATCTTCCCTCTTGACGATGAACTCGAACGGCGACGCGGCAATCGTTCTACTGTCCAATTGCTCTATCAATTCCTCAGGCTCTAATAGCTCGGTGCTTCTTCCTACTTTCTTCCCTGAAACAATAAACACAAAACAAAGAATCTCCTCAATCTCTTTGCTTTAGATGAAAAACAAAGATTTGGGTTTTTTTTTTGTTTATGAAACTGACCATCTTCAGAAACCTTGAGGGAAGATGAAGTTCTGAGAGTTTCAGCAACAGCATTTAAAGTAGCTTCTGGTACATCTTCTGGATTCTTCAATGCCACTGAATTCAAATGGCTTCTCATCTTTGAAAAAGAACAAATCAATGCCAAACTGACCACTGTTTACACAGTTAAAGCTTAATAGCAACAAACGAAGCACCATTGAATCAATAAATAAAACAAACAAAAGTTTCTTCATACTCAAACATGGACAGGATTAAAAGTGAAAGGATACATCCATCTTGACTCTCCTTGATCTTTTTCTTGAGGAAATCGTCTTTTGGAATATTGCTATCACTGAAGTAAAACTCTACCTGTAAAATACTTTAAAAAAATCATTTTTAAGCCATTGAAGAGTAAATGAAAGTTTAAAACTTTAAGATGAAGGGGGGAATTTGACCTGACGAAGAACAGCCTTGGCAGTATCTTTGCTCAAAGAAGGGGTCACCATTGTTGTACAGTAAGTGCTTGAGTTGATAGAGAGTATGAGAAAGAGATTATAAGAGAGGGAGTGTCTAGGGTTCTGGAAGACGATATATATATATATATATATTCCGTTACTGTGAACTCAACTTCTCAGGTAACTCGTCCTAACACGATCTGATTTGGAAGATCAGTTTCCCGGGCGACGTGGGCAGGCAACTCAACAATTAAAATTGAGTAAAATACAAAAAAGGTCACTAAATTATATCACAAATCCACAATGATCTTTTTTATCGAATAACTTCTAAATGTTATAAAAGAATCATTATATTTATGAATTTATTAAATAATTATTTAAATTTATTAAATTATAATAAAATAATTATTAAATTTATCATAATATTATAAAATAATCATCTAATTTATTTAAATATATTATTTATTTATAACATCATATGAATTATTTTAAAATGAATTAATAAATTTAATAAATATTTTATAACATTAAAAAATTTACAGCTGAGTACATCTCAAATTATCTTTGTGTTTAAAATAATATTTATTATCTTATATTTAAAGATCATGGATTTGTGCATGTTGTATGTGAGTGTTTAAATATCCTTTATCAAATTATTGAAATTTTTCAAACGGATATTACCTTTAATTATTTCAGACTAATAAAAAAATATTTATAGATCATATACATTACAAGTAATATTTCAAATAATTTAAAATTTTATTTATTTTTAAATTTACCGATCTCATCAAGACCAAAATATAAATTAAATGTAAATTACCTTTAGATTTTATTCTCATACTTTCTAGATTACGACATCTGATGAGAATAATATAATGTATTTATAATATATATTATCTGAATCCGTAACATATGGAATTTTTGGGGGTATAACCGTACACAATGCAAAAGAGAAAATTAAATTATAAAAAAAATTAAGAGGATAGTTCAAGATTTTACATTTATTCTAAAAAAATCTTAATGTAATCCATTAAATGCATACTTCCATTATTAAAAAAGAGTTAATTACATCATATGTCCTCAATGTACAACTCTCATTTTAAATTGGTCTCTAAACTTTTAAATATTCCAATTCATCCCTAGACTATGAATATCATTCTAAATTAGTCCTCAAACTTTTGAATATTTCAATTTCATTCCCAAACTATGACCATCATTTTAAATCGGTCCCCAAGCTTTTTGAACATTCCAAATTTATCCCAAACTATAGTATACACTTAATCATGTCCCTTGTTAATAAAATCATTAGACCAAGTTATAGTATGATATGTTTGGGAAAATAATAAAATTTAGGTTAAACGATGGATGAAACAAATTACATATTTGGATGAATTTAGGGATGGAATTAGAATATTTAAAGATTGAGGAACAATTTAGAAAGAGGTTCACCTTTTAGGATTGAAATTAAAATGTTCAAAAGTTTAAGGACTAGTTCAAAAGTCTGGGGATAAAATTGGAGCATTTAAAAGTTTAGGAACCAATTTAAAATGAAAGTCATAGTTTGGGGACATATAATGCAATTAACTCTTAAAAAACTTATTTAACAATTAATTAAATTTATTATTGGATGATCTTTATAATTTATTGTTAATACAAAATAATAAATTAAATTTATTATTGCATTATCTCTATAATAAATGTGTATTAATTAAAGAAATATTATTTCATATACTGATAGTTAAAAAAATACTTCACAGATATGTCTATTTCATTATTATCTAAACCCTAAATAAAACAAATGAGAACATTAAAAACCCCAATATATTTTTCACCACCATTATTAAGAATGATAATATTTAATTAAATATGAACCCTCAAAACTAAAAACTTGATAAATAGTTATGTATGCGCCTCCATGTTTCAAAATATCATAATTTGTTTTTGACAAATAATAAACTATCATGAACACAAACATGCATTCAACGTCTTAATGTTTCGATTTCGATGGACTCAAATCAAACGACCTTACTGATTAAAAAGAAAATTATTATCCCTTATGCATGAGTGTTTGAACATTCATTATTAAATAATTGATAATCTTTCAAACATTTAATTAAATAATTTCGAAACTGATAGAGACCTAAAATAAAATTAAACCATATGTTTCTTGGGGTTGGGGGAGAGGATGTCAAGGTTGAAGTTGAGCAACTTTAAAACTGATGACATAGATGTTGTTTAACCAAAAAATTCAGGGGTGGCAAAGGCCCCTACCACACATCCTTCGTCAAGCCGACTGAATATTAGCTCAGATGACATGTATCCAGTTACCGGCACCGGCGGACTCCCAAGTAACGAATTCAAGAAAAATAATGTCGAAAACTATAAGCACAAGAGTGAGCATACATCGTAAAACCGTCACAAGAACAAGAATATTAGAACCATGCTACCATATGGCATGATCATGCAAATTTGCATTCAGAATAGAACATAAATCAAAGAAGATGCAACACCTAATCAACAATGGAGATTCGAATAATGTTTGGTAGAATCCAGGGCACCTATTGCAGAAGTTCATCTCGCCCACATTCGAGCTTGACTTCGCTCTACCATTTGTATTCTCTTTTTTCTTATCAAAACCGATGGAGGTAATAACCTGAGTCAGGTAACAGAAAACACCCTTCTTTGAAGGACAGCAAGTTTCCGGCAGCTATAATAATTCGTAGTCGTGATGAAATACCGATAAATTTCACATAAAATCCTCCTCTAGTTCCTGGAGAGATTTGCTTGTGGCTGCAATTTGTTTGTTTGATATCATATTTTCAGAGACCATCAGACCCTTGTAACTTCTTATTTCTGCTTGTCTTTCCTTTTCAAGCCTTTGAAGCTCCTCTCGTCGTTTCTGCCAAAGAAATCAAATGGTTTCATTTTCAATATCCGATTAAAACGTGCACACGATGACACTGTGCATGAATTGTAAAACATCAAATCCAATGAATACAGCCACATGAAATTCTTACCCTAAACTATCCAGCCAGAAAAAAAGAAGGCATTGAACACAAGTCCGAACATTGTGTCACAGACCCCAAGCCTTTTATTATATTTGTGTGCTAGCAAAAATCAACATATACTATCATGTATATAAATCTACCCTATTGTGCATATATTTAACTAAATGAACGCTTATGTGTCCATGTGGTTTATTCTTTATGGATCATCTCACTCCTGCCTCAGCTTCACAAATCTGCTACAATATAACTATTTTTTCACCCTAAGCAAAATTGAGTAGGATAACTTCTGCTTTCATGCTACAACCGGTAAGGATATCCATGTTCGATAGCATACCGGTATAAACCATAAGCTAACGTAGCCAATATCAAATCGATTAGGATAACTTTTGCTTTCATACTACCACCAGTAAGGATATCCATGTTCAATACCATACCCGTATAAACCAAAATCTACATATATTATCATGTATATAAAACTGCACCATTGTGCATATATTTAACTAAATGAACGCTTATGTGCCCATATGATTTATTCATTATGGATCATCTAACTCCTGCCTCATCTTCACGGGTCTGCTATAATATAACTATTTTTTCACCCTAAGCAAAATCGAGTATGATAACTTTTGCTTTAATGCTACAACCAGTAAGGATATCCATGTTCGATAGCATACCCGTAGATAAGCTAACTTGGTCAATATAAATTGAAGAAATAAGAAAAAAACAATTGAAGACAAAAGGGGCTCACTTTTTCTCTCAGCTGTTGCTTTCTCTCTGCTTTTTCCGCTGCATAAACTGCTTCTTTCTCAGCTGCAACAACATATTACATTAGTGGCGTTAGTTTGATCAAAAGATAAAAATAAAATAAAAGAATTCTAACTTCGATATACTAAATGAGTGGTAGAATTGAAGATGCAAAAGGCAAAACTTACATTACTGCGTATACCAAGCGAAATACAAAATGATCGAAATTACACCACAGGCATTCACATACCTTTCAAGTCAGGTTTCCTTTCGACTTTAGTCTTGTTCAACCTGTTAATTATCTCGTTTATCCGCTTCTCCACTCTCACGGTCCGAACCTAAATCGCATGATAAAACCAGAAAGCGAACCTAAAAAAGAACAAAATATTGTGACAATATTCAAAGTAATAAAGAAGGTTTACCATCTTGGAATTGTGAAAGCCAACTTGGCCAACATCCATGGAAGGAGTTTTCTTCAAATTGGACCATGGAGTGTAAACAACATCAATATTGTTCACCTTGTTGCCTAACTCACATAAAAATTATATTACAACCTAATAACTTATGATATCAAACATAATAAAAATACAATTCTTAGGGTGAGTATTAGATAAAATCGAGAAAGAATTTCAAGTAGAGTTCGCAAGTACTATTTTATAACTCAAACTTTATTTGAAATTTTTTCGATCCGAGTCAACTTTATAAAATTCGAGTATTTAATTTTAAATATTCATAATATTACATTGCTTTAATAACCATATACAATATACATACTTCTTCATATTCTTTTTATATGCTATATACATATATATGTTGAGGACTCGACTAGAAGTTGAAAATCAATATAATAATTACTAAAAATTCAAATTTTTTGAACCGAGTTTTGTTGCTCACCACTAACAATTCTAAAAAAACAAAGAATGATGAAATTAAAATAAACCTTGGATGGAATTAGCTTTGACAAGCTGAGCACAATCTTCGAGCAAACCTTCACCTATATCATCAATGGTTTGACCTTTTTGAAGTCTTAAATAAACATGGGCAGAAGATATTTTATCCACATGAAACCTGAAATGAAACAAAAAGAAGAAAAATCGAATCATATGTAATTTTAAAAGAGGGAAGGGAAAAAGAAACCTAATTTACCGTCATTTATAGCAACAATAGCGAAATCAAATGAGTAATTACCAGATATCTTCGATGAAACCGTATTTGATGAGCTCCTCGTTTTCGTACTTGTCAAGACCCATGAAGATGGTGTAATCGCCAGCTTCGGGTCGGGTTTTGAAGTAAAAAACCATCTTTTTCCCCTTCAAGATTCGTCTTTTGGGACAAAATTAGGGTTTTCCTCCCTCCCCTTCAAGATGGTGTACTCCTGCATATATTTATTTATTTTTTGAAGCATTATATGATATATAGATGGTGTAAATTGATGTTAATATTTGTGTTCAAATTTATATTATTATGAATATAAATATATGAAAAATTATATAATATTGTGTAAATTTTAATTTATCTTTTTTTTTCCCGTCAAGTATTTTATTTAATATTTAATTTCTTAAAGTTTAGAGTTTAAAATATAAAATTTTAGATTTCTAATGTTTTTTAATAGTATGTAAAAATTATGAAGTGCTCGTGTTTAAAATATTTTTTAATTATTAATAATGTACGCCTATTCTCATGATACAATTGTTTAAATTTAAGTAAACAACGTTCTTTTTAATTACGTAGAGTCATATATTACTTCATTATATTTCTTTTAACCAACGTTTATCAAATTAATTATTTTGACATTTATTCTTTTTTTTTTCTTTTTTAAATATTTTATCTCCCAACGTTTCATTTCACGGAAAAAAATATTTAAAATTTGATCGAATATTCACTTTGATCTTTATTATTCGTTAAATGATTATTTTGGTAAATGTTGGGAACTAAGTGAGACATTATGTCATTCTTAATTTTTTTTATAATCTGAGATAACTACAAAGTAGTTCAAAGATAACTCTCAATCATTTGACATTAAATTCTTATATCCTAAAATTCTTAGTGCTCAAACTTAAGTCTTTTACCACCAAAATCAATAGATCATTCTGATTCTTAAATTTAAAGGTTTAGATGAAGGAGAATTTATAAACTTTATATTGCACATTTATCACAAAATATTACTCAAAATAAATATTCTTTTGCAATTAATTTTCTCAACTTGTGGAGTGGGGCAATAACAAAGGAAAATTCAGCCATTTGTGGGTAGAAAATAGAAATACTAGAAGATTCCAAAAGAACGAGCAATTTCCTGTAAACAAAGTCTCTGTTTCAACAATTTTAACCCAAAAATCATATTCGGTGATTTCTGTTTAATTTTTTCATCCAAGATTTGAATGAAATTGCGATGGCCGAAGTGGCTGCGAGTTTGGCTACGGAGAAGCTAACCAGTTTGCTGAGTGAAGACGTCGAGTTGCTCAGAGGCGTCCATGAAGAAGTTGAAGACATCAAGCTCGAGCTCGAGTTCATCACATGTTTCTTAAAAGAAGCAGATGCAATGGCGGCCAGAGATCAGGGTTCCACCAGTATTATTACATGGGTGAAGCTTGTAAGAGAAACAGCATTCAGGATTGAAGACGCCATTGATGGCTACATGACATCCTCCATCTCCATGTCGTTAACAGCCATGAACACCATGGTTTCATCAAGGCTTACCTGTGTAAAGTGGCTAAATTCCTCAAGAGCATGAAGAAACGTCACGACTCACGAGATAGCGTCGGAGCTTCGAGATATCAGGATATCGGTTCGAGAAATCGGCCAGAAACGAAGGAGATACGGGTTGAACATGCCTGGTAATACCGGTGTGGCTCGACGTGATCCTCGAGTTGGTCTGCAATTTGTCCAGGACAATGAGCTCGTTGGAATCGTTTCACCGAGAAGCGAATTGGTCCATAGGTTGATATCCGGACCATCCGTGAGCACCGTTGTTTCACTCGTCGGCATGGGCGGGATCGGCAAGACGACTCTTGCGAGGAAAGTTTATGAAAACCAGACTGTGGTTCAACATTTCGATTGCCATGCTTGAGTCACAGTATCTTAATCATTCCAGGTGCAAGAGCTGCTGAGGACCCTCTTGAAACGATTTCACGAGGCGAGGAAAGAGTCGCCTCCCGAGGCGATCGGTCGGATGGATGAATAGGAGCTCATCAGCAAATCCAGAGAATATTTACATGACAAGAGGTATGTTGCTGTCTTTGATGATGTGTGGAACCAAGATTTCTGGAATAGTATAGAACATGTTTTGTTAGATAATAACAAAGGTTGTAGGATCATCATCACAACCTGGTCAGAATCGGCTTACACTGGTCGAGAATATTCGATGACTCGCTTAAAATCCTTGGAGTTGTGCCTAATCTGTTGAAGTTTCAGCTGACAAATGGATATGATGGAGCTCAGCTGCATTTTGAGAAGGGATACTTTCAGAGACTCGAAGAACTAGCATTTCGGATGTTGAACGGATTGAACAGATTGACGATAGATGAAGGAGCGTTCCCTTCGCTCGAATGGTTGTCGATCGGACCCTGTCCGTACTTGCAGGAGCTGCCATGGACGATTTCTTGTTTAAAAAGCCTTAAGCCTTTGGCATTCCATAACATGCCGAATAGCTTTGCTCTGAAGTTGGTGCCTGATGAAGGAGCCGATCATTGGAAAGTTGAGCATATTCCAAACGTTGTTTTCTGTAGCACCAATGGATCGATGCAATGTTATGTCTACAGGCTTGGCGACCAGCGCCTGTTACAAGTCTTGCATTGCACGTGACTTGTCGATTTCTGTTGTATTTCACCTAAGGTAATCAGAGATGGATATCATAGAAGGGTGTTGGGCCGATTGGTATATTAAAATTTCTAAATTCTTATATAATTTAAGTATTTCTTTTAAAGATCTATTTTTATATTATTTTAAAAAATTTAATTTCACTCCCTTTTTTAAAGATTCGTATTTTTTAACATAAAATTATAGTTTATCTCTAAAGATAATTATGTCTATTTTATATAAATTCTAATAGGTTAATAAATAAGTTATATGTATTTATTATTTTTTGAGTTATCTATATCATGAATGTCATATTTTTGAGTTTTAGTTATTAAAAAAAATATGAACCAACTTACCTCAGTGATTAAAAGAATTGTTACTATTCCTAGAATTCATGGGTTCGAACATTACCGACTGTAAGAGTGATTGAATGTTCATTGTCAAATGATTGATAATACTTACAACAGATACAACTTGATAATCACCTTCAACTTAATAAAAAAAAACAGTGATGTTAGAATCGCTTTTTTTGGGTGTTAATTACTTTATAAGTGTCTGTTAATTTTATAATTAAGTAAATGCAAAATTTGATTCAGTTTGAAACAAAGTTTAAATAATAAAATATAACTTGTCAATTTGACTAATTCAAAATTTTATTAATTCAATTTAATTTGATTGAATATTCATTCTTAATTCCTCATTCATTTGAAGTTCATTTTAGATCAAATTTCAATCACAAATTCCTATATTACTATAAAATTTATACGTAACTTCAAATCTTATTCTTAATAACAATTTACTTTTTCTATAATTTAATCTTTCAACTTTGTAATTTGAAATTTTGTTTTTTACTATAATTTTCTTGTAAATTCTTTCTTTTCATTAATTCCTTAATTCCGTTATACTCAATTAACACTTTATCTCCAAAATACCTTGTTTAAAAAATATATTTCTACAATTATAGATTACATTTGATATATTAAATAGCATTGCAATGTGAAAAAGAATGATATATATATATAGAGAAACTCATTAAATTGGACCAACACGCTCCATAACATTATAAATATTTATAATTAAATTTGAATAGAAATTTGAAAACTCAACTCGATTTAACTCTAACCGAATTTAATAAACTCGGCTCATCTAACAAAATTAAAAAAAAAAAACTATTTTTTAAAATAGGACTCGTTAACTCAACTTAATAAAAAAGAAATAGGATCAATTTTTGGAATGGCGTTCAAATTCAGAAACTTAAATTGTTTTGTTCATGTAAATCATGAGAGGGAGCTAACTAAATAGCATTAATTAAGGATAAGAAAAGATGTTTAGGGATATTACATTAATTAGTTAAAAAGGGGTCCTTACAACATTTTCTTTCTTTGATCATAAAAGTAAGATGCCAATTATTAATAGCCTGAAGAGCTAAAGTTGGTTGGTCAGTCGGTCGGTCAATGCTCATGTAGTGAGTCATTAGAGATTTCATTAATCATATGAATATTTAAAGAAGAAAAATTAAAATCAATAAATTTTGGGTGTAATGATAAGTAGGGATGACTATGAAGTTGAGTTGAGTTGAGTTTTGGTCAATTTAAATTTGATTTGAATATTATATTTTTTTATTTGTCATTTAATTCGACTTGGGTTTAAGAAACTACGCTAATGAAATTTAATCTAATTTTTTTTGGTAAAAATGTATCTGACACTAATACAATATGACACGCATGTATATAATTATATTTTTATCAGGTAAAATAAGGATGTAACTGAAAATAATAGATAGAGATTAATATTATTGCAATTATCTCTATATATAAAACGAATTTGACTCATTTATTTTTTTTATTGTAGAAAAAAATTATTTTAAAAATAATTCTATTTTTCTAGATAATTATTGGATTATCTCATTTTAGTATTTTTATAATATTTAAATTGAATTAATTGATGAATAGATTATATATAAATAATTAAATTTTAAAATGAAATATGAAGAGATCGAGGAAGAAGAAGAATAAAGAGATAAGCACGGGGAAATGACAGTTGATAGTAATAAAAGCTCAAAGGTGGGGGTCCAACAGAGATGGAACATGACAAGTTGTGAACCATAGATGTTGTGGTGGTCTAATTTGAATGTCATAAATAAGATTTATTGTATACGGACTATTATTTTATAATAAATGTGGATATAAATTAATATTTATTTAAAAAAATTAATTTTTTGATAATGAGAGTTCTAGTCATATTACTAGTATACACGATGCTAAAATTTAAGATCTCAATTAATAACAACAAATCTCTTAGGTCGTTTGATTTGTGTTGTATATACGAATTAAACACTACTATACATTTATTATTTAAAATTGTCTTCTAATTCATAAATTTATATATTCGTTCTTTATTTTTTAATTTTATTTTATTTTATACTCATTGAATCAATATATTTTTAACATATTTAGATATTTAAAGTATAATTTAAATTAATATATTTAAAAACATTGTAGTACTTTTATTATGTATACTATTATTGTTGCACCTTCTTGGAATGTAATCTCGCAATATCACGTATTGCTTAGGATCAAGACCTAGCTTTGATTAATTTATCGAGGTCATCTTTTGATAAATGATGAGAGACTTCATTATTACTTGACTAATGATGGTAGTTGTGGCTGGTGTGGGGGTAACCCTGAAGTCTGTGTCACACTCCAAATTTCGAGTTAAAAGTTTTGAGAAAATTTAAAAAAATTTAAGTGAAATTCAAATTCAGTGGGTCTAAATTGGAAGAAACCTAAGGTTTAAAGGACTCTGTTGTATCTGAATAATATTAATTTAGGATTAAATCAAACATATTTGACAAGCATCGGTAATTGTCAAATAAATAAACCTAATTCTCAATTTAAATAAATAAAATAATATAGAGAAATAGGATTGATCCATATGGTCTAAGGAAATTCTAATTAAATCTGATTTGATCTCTAACTAAAAATCTACAAAATAAAATAAAAGGGGTGGTTTATTGAATTTAATTGAATAAACTAAAATTAAATAAAATAAAAATAAATAATTGAAAGAGATAATGATAGGAGATAGTCTTTAGCTTTGGTTTGACTCGACTCGTCTCAATCATTGAAATAGATTTTACTTCAAAATCTTATCAGTTACAGTTTACAAGGCTCAACCCTTATAACTTGCTCTTCTCTCATGTGAATTAATCCCAAAATCAATTATTGAAAATTAATCCTTGTTTGGATTTAACTTCGACTATTGATGTTAACAAATATCTTATTTAATGTTGGAAAAACCCGTACTTGGATTACGCATCTCAATGAGAATCGAACTTGATATTGATTTCCCTTAGCGGACCACTACTAAGTAGGGATGGCAAAAAAACCCGAACCCGACGGGGAAAACCCAAAACCGAATTAAACGGGGACGGGAAAAACCGTTTATGCTAAACGGGGATGGGACGGAGAAAACTGTTTATGTTAAACGGGGACGGGGATGGGGGACGGGTTTAGTAATTCCCGCCCCGATTACCCGATTATCCAGACCGATACTCGGCCCGATAAATATTAAAAATAATTATTTTACATATATATAATATTAATAAATTTAAATTAAATTAAATATATATATATATATATTTAATATTTATATATTTAATTTAAATATATATATCCGGCCTGATACCCGTTTAAATAACAGTTTATGCTAAACGGAGATACTCGTTTCCCAGCGGTTTTCCCCGATTACCCGATGGGGATCCCCGTTTAAATCCCCACAGTTTTTTAAGCGGGGACGGGTACAAGTTTTTTAAACGGGGACAAAGGGGACCAATACTCGGCCCGAACCCGGCCTGTTGCCATCCCTACTACTAAGTTTGTTCTTAGGGGTTTAAATTTGCTACAAGCAAATTCTCTTCCCTAACGGTAAATCAAAACAACATTCAAGCTAATGTGCAATCTTTCAATTGAAAGTGAAAAGAATTTAAAGATTAAGTCGATTACCTAACTTGTTTGTCAAAAATCAAGAAGGATACTTGAAGGTATGAAGCGCTTTTCAATTATCACTAAATGGATTGAATCGTCGCTCAGCTATCACTTAAAATAGATTTAGCTAAGCATATGGATTGGATCATGCTTAGCATTGTGAAAAGAAAATAATGAAAGAAAAGTAGAACTTCAATAAATAGCCAATGGAATATAAATTCCAATATGAGTTCAAAGGGTAAACCTAAGGAGCATTTATAACCAAAAAGTTCTAAGCAAATAAAATGATTAATTCCTAATCAAACTAAAATCCTACCAAGAGTTCTAATAAAATAACTAATTCTTAAATAAAATAATCAAACTAAAAATCCTAAATAAAAAGGCTTATCACAAAAGATAAAAAATAAATATTTAAGTCTTGTACTTCTCGTTGAATTATGCTTATGGATAACCTTATATCAGATAAATTCCAATTAAATATTCAAGATGTTGATTGGACCATCGAAATCTACTACATTTTGGGCTAATTAATCCAATAAAACTCATGTCCAAAATAAAGATAAATCAGTAATATCTAATCGAAAATAAGGAATAAATAACAATAAATATATGCAATATAAAACACTCATCAATATTCAAAACTAAGAAATCAATTTGAAGAAAATGAGGACTGATATGAATACAAAACAAACTTGTGAGCCCAGATCGTGAACCTGAAAAAGTCTAGGGACGCGTCTTATAAATTACCCATTATTTTGGATATTAAGTCCACGTTTTAACACCTTATATTTTATTCTTCATTTATCAATGAACATAATTTATAATTATATTTTGTTATATTTATAATATAAATATAAAATAACATAGGGGAAGCATCGACCTACATTGTATAAACTAATAGTTTTACACATAAACATAGTTGTTTGGATGAATCTAAATAGATGATTGAGAGTAAAAGTTTGCACATTAATATTATCTTTTTTTTTTGTCAATTTTCACATAAAATAAATAATTTTATTTTAAATTAAATCATCCATTTAGATTCATCCAATAACTATAATTTCGTGTAAATTAATGAATTTTACACAGTATAAATAAATCATAGTCCTTCTCCATAACATAAATATATAAAATTAATATATACATAATATTATAATGCGATAAATAGTCATTTTAAAAACGAGTAAGGCGGAGCGAAACAAGCATTTGTCGGAATTGCTTGTTACATAATACACATCCACTTAGAAACAGAATTAAGATCAGATATTAGGAGAAAAATATAATAATATCATGTAATTACTCCTAATTTCAAACTCTTTTGGAAAATACAAGTTAAAAGACCGAATCATATTGCTTTGCAAAATAAATACCAAACATCCTTTAATCAGCTTGCCCTGGTCAATCTCTATTCCTCCTCTCTCAAAATAAAGAAAAAGTGATGCCTAATAACACGAAAATGAAATAGTATTAGTAATGTACAATATCTAAGGTTGTCTAGGGTCTCCCCCTCCCCTTTGCTCAAACTTTTCCCTTCTTAAACCGAAGTAGACATCATAGTCCGGTCGAGTTTCGGATACGAATACATGTCCGATATCAAAATCCACAGCTGCCCATATGTAGTATGTATGCTTTACTAACCAAAAATATGTTTCTATCTCTCATCTTACTTCAAAACAATCAAAGCTATGATCATTGGGGAAAAAGTGGAGCGAAGGGCAAACGATGCTTAGCCTCGTCGTTCCAACACCGTTGAATGTTGCATGCGATCTTCGTAGCGTCCATCGATGTACCGAGCAATCCACGTTTAGTGAACCCCACGGCATATAGCCCACGTTCACCTTTCCACCCATTGGGGAATGACTTCCGAGGGTACCCATCTTTCTCTGAGAACATCTTTTTTTCCTGTAAAAGCATTTCCATTTCTCTTTTTATTTTAGTTACGGAGAACATTAGCATGTGAAAAAGGAGAGAAAAAGTAGTGAATTTAGGGTTTGTATACCTTTAGCCAAGAGGGTACATTGCTTTTGTATCCGGTTGCTAATATGATTGCATCAAAGTTCTCGGTTTTGCCATCAACAAACACCACGGCGTGTCGTTTTAGGCTCTTTATACTTGGACGTACCTACATCAACAATGGTTCCAAATTAAGAATTGTGACGATTGACAAAAATTTCGACTCATTTGAGATAAATTTTTGTATTAATATTTTTCATACAATTAATTATTAATCCCTCCGGTAGGTCTAATATTATAAATTTAAATATTTATGTTCGATTTTAATCTTGAGTTTTCGTCTCTTGTATCCCTTTTGGTGGTATTAAAAACACCTTTTTTACCTCTAATACTTTCGGAGTAAACAATAATCTAAATCTTTGGCATCATGGGGGATTAAATCACACTCATAGTAGGGTTCAAAGCAATGATAAAAGACTTAAAAGTTACTTTTTGGTGACTTTATATCACTTGTGCTAAAATTGAACACAAATATTCTGAAAATACAATATCAAACGTATTTAGGGTTAGCAAGAATCAATGTGATAAAAGGTAGGTCTATTCGACTTCGATATGAGATATGACCCGATTCAATCTTATAAAAAAAATTAAGTAGATTTGGGTCAGGTTGGTTTGAGATTTTAAATGATAAGATTGGATTAGGGTTTAAGTTTAGGGTAAAAATTATTTGACGTGACCGAAGAATAATAGTATAGTTGTTTTTTTTATATATTTAAGGATAATTGATGTCCTCTTTCTACATTTTCTCTACTATATCCTTATTTTATATGATAAAAATGATAATTATATAGGTGTCGGGTTGAGTACAAATTTTTATCTCAAAAACTAAGTCGAATTTTGAATCTAATTTTTTTTAAAACTTAGATCAGATTAAGTGAAAAATAAAAAAAATATTATACTCAACTTGAATATACTCGGGACAAAAACCCTATCCTATGACCATCCCCATATACTTTTATTGAAAAACATACTATTATAGGATCAATCAAGCACTCCATATTTAGTTGTCAAGGGAAAAAAAGTGATGTGATATCAGTATCAAAAGGGTAAAGTACCTTAATGTCTCCACTTTTGATTTTAGCAAGCGTGCCAACATCCAAAACTGGTGTTTTCCCCGACAGATTCTTCAGCTCAAGAGGACCCAGCTCCGGCCGGGGCAATCCGAAGCGAGCAGTGTCGCCGAGAATCAACCGAGACACAATCAGTAACAACCGATCGACGAGCCGCAACGGCAGCCATTTGAGCAGCCACATGGACAACCCGAAAGTCGGTATCCCTAGCATCTCTTGCGGGAGGACATGGACCTTCCAGAAGAAAAAACAGTAAAGGAAACAGTTTGAATGGACACATGAAACAAAGATAACATAAAAAAAACATGGGATTTTGATTGATGGGATGAATCGAGCCGCCTTAGATTTTGTTTATGATTAGGACAACATAGACTAGACAAAATCCTATGGTTTGTTTTTTTATGTATTTTACTACGTTGCGCATGCTTGGGAAACCCAAGAAAGTGAAAGAACAAAGATCTTTGTTCTTTTCCTTTTGTCTACCGAATTTTGGTAGTAGTAAACATGTGAAAGCAGCCTTACAACTGATCAAATCTTTGGAACTTGAAGCCATACATACAAGGTTTTAGTTATGAATGGGCATAGGATTAGGTTTCATCCGATTTTGGTTGGAACTGACTTTATAAGATAATTTTTTTATAAAAAATTTGGAATTGAGTTAAATTAGGTCAAGTTCTTTATAGAAAATAAGATTGGATTTGAGTTTATGGTAAAAATACTCTACCTGATTTGTCTCGACATAATAATGTAAATATCCTTTATATTTTAAAGAAAATTTACAATAATATTTATTTCTCTATTTTTTAATTATATCACTATTTTATTGAATAAAATAAGAATTATATATACAAATTAAGATTTAGTTACATAATATAAAAAAACTTTTTGTTTTATATTGATTTAACATGGTTGTATGAGTAAAAATAGACGGCTATAATTATCTTTTTATTTTTTATTTTATGTAAATATCTTATCATTTTCTACTGTTAATTTCAATAGTTTATATTTTAATTATCCAATAATTTTAAATAATCATAAAACATTTTAATTTTTATAGGATAACTGAATCCTACCTCTCTTTGTTTCTAAAAATCAAATGTGATGAAATTTCTCTTAATTAATGTCAAATTTCGAAAGAAAAAGATACTATTTTCGAGTTAAATCAGATTAACCATAAACTCGACGATTGTCATCCCCTGTTCTAGCTATTTATATGAAAATTGAGGGAAAAACCTAAAATTCTCTAAAAACTTTAGGTTTTATCTACTATGGTACAATAAGGAGCGTTAAGATTATTGTAATATCACAATTATATCCACAATTTTAGAATATAGTTATTTTAAGAAACAAATTACACTGTAATTTTCTAACATTTATAATCACGATCATAATCGTAATTTAATATTATGATTAAAATTATAATTGTATTATAGGTTGTAATTTTGAATATTTATGATTAAAAATGATAGATAAAGAAGAGATTTCTTACTGTGTCTCTGACCACAAGTGAAGGCTTTGCATTATGATTGCAAAGATCCAAGCACACCTCCATGCCTGAATTCCCACACCCCACAACCAATACCGTTTTCCCTCTAAACTCTTCTCCACTCTTATACCAACTCGTATGCCTTACCTCCCCACCGAATTCCTCCATTCCTTCCATCTCCGGCGTCATCGCCTCCGCATTCTCCCCCGTCGCCACCACCAGCCACCGACAAACGTATTCCATAACCTTCCCTTTAACCCCAACGCTTCTCACTCGCCAAAACCCCAACGCTCCGTCGTACTCCGCCTGTGAAACCGTCTCGTCGAACCTCGGCTTTATATCGAATTTCTGAGCGTAGGCTTCCAAGTAGTCCACGAACTGTTGCTTGGTAGGGTAAATAGGGAAATCACTGGGGAACGCCATTAATGGAAGCTCGCAGAATTGCTTCGGCAAGTGAAGACGAAGGCGGTCGTATGTCTTGAGCTGCCATAAAGACGCTATGCGGCTCGATCTCTCGAGGATTACGCTCGGGACTCCTTTCTCTTTCAGGCAAGCCGCCGTCGCTAGACCCGACGGACCCGCGCCGACGATAACCGGCCCCGGAACGTATAAACACCGAGACGACGGCCACTTCATCATCTTCTCGATAAATATGGGATCATGAGCTTGTTTTCCTTTTATTTCTCTCAAACAGTACTCCATAAAAACTCCCAGCTTCAGCTAAAGAAGAAGAGCAAAAACTGAGAAGAAAACATCTAAGTGAATTAAGAAGTTTAGAAATTATTCAGCATTCATTCAACCATGAAAGATGATCACAGAGAGAGAAACCGGAAGAATGAAAGAAGGGGAGAATTAAGAGAGAGAGAGAAAGATCGTGATATGTCAGTAACTCCCTGTATAAATAGATTTATATATTCCTTTTGTTTCATTGAATAATTCTTTTTCATATTCATGAGGTGGAATTAAGTTTGGGAAGTGGTAAAGGAGGGGCAAATATTACTGATAACAAAATGAGCAAATTATGTCATATTAGGGTAAAAATAATAAAATTCTAAATTGAATATATTAAAGGGATAAAAACTATAATTTGACCATTTTTTAATGATGCTATTGATTTACATAATATTACTAATAGTAAAATGATGGAATTATGTCACATTAAGGTAAATATAATAATTGTCGAAATTGGATGTATTCGATGGGGAACCAAATATTTTAAGGGTAAAGTATAAAAATGATATCTCATTTATAAGATAGTGTTATGTTGCGTCATTTGACTATTAAAAGTTATAAAATAATTCTTTGACTATAAGACATTACTTTGTTGAGTCCATGACTATTAAATGTTACAAAATGGTCGTCGATTATTTATATGTTCCAAATTCATCATTTTATGAAATTTCATGTATATATATATTTATATCTATTTTTTTCACAATATTTCCTTAAATCAATCTTATTACAAAATCTAATTATTGATCCCGAGTTGACCCAATTTGTAAGATTATTTTAAAGAAAAATCATTGAATCTAATTGAGTGTTTGAATGATAAGATTAGATCAATTTAAACTTGAGTTTAAAGTAAAACATCTCTTACTGAATCTAAGATAATAGTATAATTATATATTATGAATAATTGTAAATAATACATATCTCTATATTTTTTCAATTAAATCCTTATTTTATAAAATAAAAAATGAAAATTATATATATAAATGTCGGATCAAATCAAAGACAAGTCGTTGTTAAAGCTTTCCTAAATTTAAATCAAATTAAATAATAAATAAAATAACATAATAATTATATTAAATTCAAATAGACAGAAAACTTAATAAAGTTTGACCCATGTACATCCTTATCCACAAGGTCTTATGTTTGCACAATATCTTCATCCAATTGCCTAAAATAAATTCAATTTTTTACAGCTTGGAGCGTCGTGTCATTAATGCACTGAAAATTCTGTGTTGAATTTATCAGGAAATGATGTTAATCCCTGTCATTACAGGTGTTTCTCGGTTTTGTACTTGTATTTCTATTCAACTTAGGATTTTTTTCATAAAAAATAACTCGTGGATAGTTTTATTCAATAAAATAAAAAATAAATCAATTATATAGGTCGAATTTCACTAAAATAATTAAAATTAATGCATAGGTTATTCTTTCAGAAGCAATAAACTTCACCAACTAACCAATTCAAATCCATGATAGATACAAACAAACATTATTACTGACAGCAAAAAATAACACCATCAACACTAAGATATAAACTTACATAATAATAAGGACTCGATGGCAAATTGATATTATCATAATTCAACTTTGATCTATCTTTAGTGATTGGGAGAGTTTACCAATAGCTAGTTCGGAGATCTATTAACTGACCTAATGATTAAGGATACTCATGTTGTCTCACCTTGTGTGGGTTCAAGCCTTGACATTTACCTTGAAAATGTAAACTATTCATTTAATAAAAAAAAATAGCTAACCCGAGGGTCTAAAATATAGATATATCAACGGGATAACCAAATAAACACCATTTGAAGAAATATCATCAAATTCAACCTTTAAAAAATTTAAAAAAATATATGCTACAAGACCGAACAAAAAACATGTTACAAAAAGAGATAAAATAATCCATCATTTTCATACAAAAAATGTGAAGACCAATAGATAAACACATCTATTATCAACGGTGAATGATAAAACATCAACATTAATATTGAAATAACACGTTGACAAATGTGTTTATCACAATTCAAGCACGCACATTTGAATTGTCTATGACCACCTATTAATATGAAATAATTAATCTAATAATCTAAAGCACGAGTAGATTATTAAGATAATCAAATATACACTAATTAAAGAGAAAAAGTATAATCTAATTAATATATAAAATTCAATATTTTAACAATATTAGTAATTTTGACTACAATAGTAAAAGGAACAAATTATCTAAAATTAACATACTAAAATTAATCCTCACACACACACACACACATATATATATATGTTTCAAAGTGTATCGTATTGGCCAGTTGTTTTCAATCTCATATAAATTCATTTATTCCTTAAAAAATGAATTATTTAAATACATTTACGAAGAGCAGCCTGATTGATTGATTATTAAGAATTTGACTTTAAAATAATATGACAGATCCGATAAGATATAATGAAATTTAATTCAATTAATTCATACAAATATTTAATACTAAATTATTAAAAGAAACTTAAATCAGCTTGCTTTTATTAGATAAGCCCCTATATCTTTGCTATATTCGTATTTAAATTGGCTTTTATTTCAAATAAGATATTAATTTGTACTGAATTTTGTCACATCCACAATTCGAGTGTATGAAAATATTTTATGTAATATATATATAAGATTTAATACAGCATATTATTACACGTGAAAGTATGAAATGATATTAGTTTTGTGTTTGATCTTTAAATAGAAATTTTTATTTGTTTCATTTAAAGGTTATATAAAAGTTAAATACCCAAATGATAATATTAAGGATTATTTGAAGAAAAATTATAATCTTTTCACGATGGAGTTGGTGTCACGGGATAGTTAACTTATACCACAAACTCAATCAGGGATAAATATGGATCGGGTCGGGTCTTTGATCATTTCGAACTTAATATGAGCATAACACTCATCCACTCGACCTGAGTTTAGGGAAGCACTATCCAGCCTAAAATTTGACTCGTTTTAAGGAAATAACATGCATTCGACCTGACCTGATACATACATAATTTATTAGGTAAAATAGGGACTTAATTGAAAAAAATATAGATAGAGGAACATTAAAACAATTATCCTTAAACATATAAGGGTCATTTATATTATTATTCTCGTTTCGGATTGATACAAGGTCATATTTGAATACTAATTAAAGTTTAAGGGCTTATTTGAATACAATAAAAGTATAAAGGGTTGTTTAAACAGACAAAATTAAAGAGCTTATTAATATATTTGCATTTTAAAAAAATTGAAAATTCTATCAATTTGACAAGAAAAAAATGAATAATTGGGTAGATTTTGATGATTGTGCTGGACCAGTTTATAAATGTTGTAATCTTGAAAGGTGCTTGTGAAAATCTGTAAGCCACTCAGGGGGTGGGACCGAGGACAAATGTATGGAGTACTTGGCAGTTGAAAACAGCAGCAAATTAAAGCAGCGTCTTAAATGAAAGCCCCTGCCAAATAATTGGGTAACCATCAACCATGTGTATGCCCTAGGGTTTACAGAAAAAGAAAAACTCATAATGAATTTTGACTCGATTTGATTATGTATATTCTTTGTATGATTTAAAATGATTATATACGATAATATTTTTTTATAGTTTTTTAAATTAATTAATAATATACATATTCTGCTGACGTAATTACTCGAACATAAAATTTCTAAAAAAATACAATTGTCTTTTATGACTAAAACCACTTGATGAATCCCTAATTGTGTTTTATATGTCATTAGTTATTTTGGCAATATCGAATTTATTTTAAAACTACAAATATAACAAATATTATTAAATAAAAAATATAAATGATCGTTTATCATATGATCTATCAAATTATTTTACAAAATGGAGTGTTTTGATTGGTAAAGATTATTATTCAATATATATTTATTAAGCTTATGGAAAAAAGAGTAATAATTATAGAAAGACTGTTCATATTATTATAGTCGAATCATATATTTGATAGTTTTTAGGGTAAAATATATAAATAATCCTCCGATTATAGGATAATACTTTATTAAGTCTCTAATTATTAAAAATTACAAAATGGTCATCCGGCTATAGGTCGTTGCTTTGTTGAGTCTCCTGACAATTAAGAGTTACAAAATACTCACATGACTATTCATATGTTCCAAACTCATAATTTTTAGTTATAAAATTTAGGGTTGTCTGAATTGGACATTAACATATTGACTTATAGAATCATATCTTAATGATATCTACTGCCATCTTCGTTGCTTTCAAGCACTGACTCCACGACATAATACTTAAAACACTGACTCCACGACATTATGCTTAAAACACTAGCTCAACGACGTAATGTAAATAAAGACTCGATCCGTTAAATATAACTCAAACGGTTATGGGACCAAGTTTTATCATATCCCAATGAACAAGTTAACGTACAACTCAGATGATCGTCAATTTATAATGGAAAAGGACAAGTTTGGAACATTTGAATAGTTATGTGACTATTTTGTAACTTTTAATAGTCTGAGACTCAATAAAGCAATACCTTATAGTCAGAGGACTAAGAAAAGTACTTTATAATCAGTGTCCTTTAGTTGGGGGACTATTTGTGTACTTTACCCACTAATATATTTGTATATATATTTTAATAATATGGGATTATTACAAGATAATATTTGTTCATAACTTCTTAATCAATTGACAACACACACATCCTACAGAAGCAACTACTCGAACTCAAAACCTCTAGTAAGAACAACATTCTCTTTTACCACTGAGACCACTTGTTGAGTTAATTATATATTTATATGTAAAATTATAGAATTTAAAATGATATCATGTAACCCTTTTATATTTTATCATCGATTATAATAAAATTATTTTTCTCTACGTTTTTTTAATAATAATCATTATTATTATATGGGGTCCATTGGATGAAGTTACTAAAGCCCAAACCACCTCATAATATGGGCTTTAGACTTACTGAGTGAGCCTGCAACAGAATGACTTTTTTG